TCTATAAACACCACTTTGTTCATTATCATCGATCATTCTGTCTTTTACTTTCACTTTGGTCGAAATTAACAGGACTTGTTCTGTAGATAATTACCAATTCAGCTATTTGAAGAAGGTACTACACAGACTAGCATTCGGTTACAGAATTTGTAGAAAGTGATCTTAATACCGATGGTATACATACAGATCAATCATTGTCTTGCTGAAAATCATAAGTATACTATAACTAATGGCTTATCTTTCTTTTCTACTCATATCTGCACATATGTTTATCATATTACCTTTCTGTTTATGTTGATTCCCCCTTTTTACTCTCTTGTGAAGTGTAAAAATCGGTGTTTTTGGTTATATCAAACAGAATGTAACACGGATGACTAAAGCAAAACAAACCAATAACAGTTAAAAGTATTCAGCTAATAGTAGTAACTTACTTTTTAAGGTCATTTATAGCCTGATTTACAGATTGTATGGTCGAAATGTCTTTATTCACATTATTAACTGCTTTCATATGCTCATTTAGCCAATTCACCAACTCTGAACGTGTTTCTTCAAAACTATTTAAATTCGTTAAAAGAGAACTGAATTCATTTCGACGTTCATTTAAGCAATTTCCCAACTGATCATAACGTTCATGTAGCTCATCTAATTCACGGCTGACTTCGTTAATTTCTTTTATTTTTATTTTGTTCATGAATTTTCAGTGAAAATACAAATGAAGAATAAACAAGAGAAGTTATTAAACATGAAATGTACCTTAGAGTAAAGGTTCATTCACTCAATTTATCTGACATAACTTTTAGAATCACTCTATATAAACAGTAAAGCAGCCAAGTTCATATATCCTTCTGTCTATTTCTTGCCATTTTGTAGTTTGACTACTATCCTGACAGTGTGTAAATAAGAGATACATTAGCACAAATAATGAAGATAGAGGAACAGATAGAAACAGAGTAGAACCTTGCGTACAATTAGGGTGGTTCAAGTTGTCACATCTAACAGTAGTACACAAACAAGAAGTAGATAGAATAAGAGCGATATCAGGTAGACAAAGTTGTGTGAGAGAATAAACAGCACGAAGATAACGATTAGTGTAAATATTCAAGCTTTAGAAGACGTCAAGGAGTGAATATATCTGCACCACTGTGACCGATTTTCAGGTATGTCACTGACCGGCCTCAACCACTGATTCCTTACGTGCAGAACATGTCCAAGCCATTTCAGTTGATGAATGTTGATAGCCTCATTGATCGACCTACCTACCTTCCCTAGGACTCTTCAACTGACCTCAACATTGCTCATACGGTGATTCTACCAGACGCGAATAATGCTATGAATACACTTGTGATCAAAACCCTGTAACCGCTTCATGTCTTCTACTTCTAACGGCCATGTCTCACAGTCATATAACGTGACAGAACGAACTATAACGCAGTATACTCGCCCTTTGATACGTATTCGTGTATCTCATAAGTCTGCACCACAGATGATGTAAGTTAGCAAATGCCAAACGGGAGTTTTGTTTCCGAGCTAAGATTTCATCAGAAACCACCTCATGCGTGATGATGCAAGTCCCCAGGTAAGTGAAGTGGTTGACACATTCCACCACTCTCCTCCGTATCCGTTAACAGGGAGAAGTTGCAGACCACTCATGGAGAATTATCTTATATTTCACTGGTGCGAGATTCATGACAAACAGGTTTCTACTCAGCGTGTTCACAAGACCCTGCGTTTTGTAGGGGGCTTCACCTAGCAGCACAACATCGTCTGCATGCTCCAAATGGACCAGATGGCCACTAGGGGTGTAAATCAATCTTTGGGAAGCCAAATGTACCTAAGGTTATGTCCATTAGTAGGTCTATGAAGGGGTTAATTAGGAACGGTGACAGAGTGCATCTCTGGTGGACACCGTAAGTTGTTGTTGGTTCTGATGACAACTATCCATAAGCCACTACACAACGGTGTGAGTCCGAGCAGAAGGCTTCTGTCAGCGCTATATACTTGCTCTGTGATCGCTTCACAGTCAGACAATGCCACAACACCTCACGGTCGACAGAGTCAAATACTACCCTTAGGCCAATAAATATGGCAAGTGTTGACATTTAGCCGGTAAGTATGCTGTGTTCCAGGACCTATCGGAGGGTGGAAATACGAAGACGAAAATCTGCTTACCTGCTAGAAATCAGCTAGCAGATCATGAATTAAAACTGCTAAGAATGGGCTTAAAAACTTGTTCTTGTTTATGTCCGGCTTTAATATTATCTTTGACACCAATTTTAAGAATATAAATCTGATGGTATTAGTGTTGACATGGAAAAAAGTAAGTTTACTTCATGAAGGTCTCAAAGACGTTGGTAACCGATTCTCGAAGACTATTGGAGACATAGTTCAAAGTTGATCACAATGACGTACATGTATTCACTGTTTATCAACGTCAAAAATCTTGGAGATCTTATTGATCTCTACTTGATTATTATTCTATTTCCTTCTACCTCTGCCTTCTGTTTTCTTACAAAATGTAGTTAGCTAAGCTGCGTCACTTTTATTCGAGGTTCAAAGTCAAATTGCCTATCTATATGACCACATTGTTATGCACTAATATTTCGATGCAGCTTAAAAAGCTAAGGCCCATTTGCATTAGCAGAAAGATTGATCATTTATCATTACATCTATGAAACCCAACTTTACCTATGCAGACTTTTCTCCACATCCTTCAATCACTTACTGACCGTTTATCAAGCAATTTGAAAGGAACTTACATTTATGTCAACTATAATTAATTAATAAATACGTATGAATCAAACACAAATTGGGTATTTTCTAGTAAATTTTCATAGCAGTTTATTACTTCCCAGGTACATTAAGGCAGTCAAGGTAACTGAATAAATTTCATATTAGCTTGTATTTACCAAGTAAAGTTTATTTTAAAAACTTGAATCTCACTAAAACAATAATTTAAAACTATCAGTTTTGCTACGGAATGCAACCCATGAAATACACGACACTAAATGTTGTAGGACAAATCCTCTGAGTGATATGTATTCACTTTTACTAACAAATGCTGAGCAGAGTTGAAGTTGATATCTTTGAGTACGGTCTACATACTTTGTTGTACAGAAGCAGGTAAACTATTTTATCTTCTGGGAATCAGAATCTAATAAGCTAAAGTAGCCCCTTCATTAAATAACAAGATATATTATTTATTCATTATTTATTTGTCACTTGGGTTCCTAGTGGAACATAGGCTTCACTAGCACGTCTCCATTCCACTCTTTTCTCTGCAACCTTTTCAACCTGGCTCCACGACAGCCCACAAGCTCTCATTTCTTCCTCATAACACCTCCACCATGTTACCCTAGCCTCGGACGCCAAACTCGTCGTTTCCCATCTGGATTCCACTCGACGAACTGGCCTGGCGCAAGATGTCCTAAGTCGGTCTTCTCAGTATATGCCCGATCCATCTCCACTTCCTTCCACCGCATATTTGTTCAGCGACAGCTTCTTGATTGGTTCCTTCCCACAGTTCCTTCTTGCTTATTCTTTCTGGCCATCTGATCTTCAGTAACAGGACAGTGTAGGTAGTTGTTAATGAATGTCTGTAGTTTATTGGAAATGCCTTTCGTAACGCACCAAGTCACTGAACCATACAGAAGCACTGACTTGACGTTGGTGTTGAAAATCCGGATCTTGTTCTTTATGCTGAGTGCGGCAGATCTCCACACTGGTTTCAGGCTAATGAACACCTGTCTTGCTGTCTTTCCGATCCTGGCTTTGACGTCCTCGTCTGTGCCGCCTGTAGTTGAAACAGTGCTGCCTAGATAGGTGAAAGAGGCTACTTCCTTTCAGTTTCGCCCGTTGATGGTGATTGTATAAATAATATGGGTAACTGAACACTCCTAGCAAGTTTAAACAGTCGTGTCAAGAGGATTAAAGTACTTAAAAAAAGTATCCATAGTTCTCATTAAAACTGTTGAAGAGTTCCATATTAGAATGGAAGACTTATCCAGTGTTTCCTAACTGATGTCAGTTCATGATGAATGATATCTTGAGAACTGATTTCATTTTGCACAATTTATGCTTAAGACTGTACAATCTAAACTGCCCAATAATCTGAACCAAATTTAAACGATGAAGTCAATCAGTAATGCGTGCTCAGTTGATTTCTTTGACTGCTCTAGGTAACTAACGTTCAGTGAACTAATTTTTAAACGATATTCCAGCTTTTTAATTCTGATTTCTTTTATATGTAGACTGTCATTTTTGCATGATAAAAGACAAAACTCAACCAGCTGACATCATCATTCTAATATCTGTTAGAAAAGAAACTAAATAACGTTTTACCTCTTCCCATCGCTCCAATATACACGAGCATTTCAGGTTGTCATACTCTCAATCCACATGTATATCATTTGGATGTATTATACTTTACCCACGCGTAGTACTTTCATCATCATTATGATCAACATAGGGCCAGGCATTACTGCGTAACCGTCCAAGTCGCCACACGTCATATCAGTGCATCAAGTAACAAGGCAATAAAATAGATGAGGAAGGAAAGAAAAACGGGTCAAAGGGAGTAGAAGTAGAAAGTAGTAAAAGAGTAGAAGGAAGAATGAGATTGAGTATAACTGTTAAAATGAGGATAATATGGGTATGCATCTGCGCCACTGACATCGGTTCCTAGCCATATCACCTAGAGTCTCCAACCACTGGTTTCCCTTGTCCCGCGGACCCCAACCGGCTAGTCTGCATCTCACTACATAGCTCAAACCAACAGTCATGGACTTCAAGCATTGATGCCATGTTTTAGTCTGGTCATCACGAGCCTTTTTCCAACCTGAACCTACTTCGATCAACATTGCGACGAGGCAGATGGTGATCGGGCATACGTAACACATGTCTCAGCCATCTGATTCGATGAAGGCTCACAACAGCATCAACTGCCTTACCTCTCCTCTCCAAAACTCTACGTTTGACTTCTGCATTACTCACGTGGTGACACCACTATAAACAAGGTCTATGCTACGAAGGTAACCGTGGTCAAGCACCTGAAGCCTTCTCATGTCTTCCACCTTTAATGACCCTGTTTCACATCCATACAGCCAAACGCAGTAGACTGAAGCATAGTACACTCAACCCTTACCTTAGTAGGTAATCGGATATCGTGGAGGCACAACAAATGGTGTAAGTTGGCAAAAGCCAACTGAGCCTATTGCATCGATGCAGATGTTTCGTCGGCCACTGACCCACCAGGGCTAATCTGACTTCCCAGGAAAGTGGCCTTCAACCCGCCCAACCAATTCACTCTCTATTAATCAGGGTGCCGTCGAAGACCAGTCATAGAGCAACAATCTGCACTTGGGTAGGAAGAAACGCATCCCAAACATTTTCAAATTGCAACTCATGGTGTCCAGAAAGTTCTGCATCTTGTCAGCCCAGTACTTTGAGAAAAAACTAAGTTGAATTGCTACAGTATCAAAACAACAAATTTTCATGCTATTGAAGACCATAAACAACCTTCAATCAGTACACCGATGAACTATCAGATTACAGAAACCTAACCACTAGACAACTGACTGTTACTCTTGTTTCATTTGAGTAAGCAATAGGAATGTACTTGGACGGATTGACTGTTGAGAGTAGGGTTGTTTATTCATACTGTATATCTTAGAAAAAACACTGATGATAGTAATAATTTGTGATAAAGTGTGAGAATTATTCACAGGTCACATATATTATGCATGTGAACAAGAAGCCCAAAAAGAACACACATGGCTGGGATGAAATGCTATAGGTGATCACGAAATCATGTTCACAACAAATAAGAGATGAATTATAAGATATAATTTAATCATTGCGAAAATATATCAAGAAACAAAAATTGATTAGTTTAAGGGTAAAATACCATCTTAATTAATCATACATAGTAATAAGTGATACTGATGATCACCAGAGTCAAGCCATGAAACGTAAAAATAATAAATACGACAGATAAAGCCTCAAAACATTAAATAACGAAGAAAGCATGTAGCCATAACTCTTCTCTAAAGTTCTAGGCATCTGATCCAAGCTCTCTTAACCTTGATGTCTCAGTTCACCAATATATATGACCACGGTTATCTGACGTGTTTAGAAGAGAATAGGACAAGTCATTAGCTCATAGTTAGCGGTTATGCTGAAAGTATCTGTATATTTTAATGTTATGGAGTGTCCTGAATTCCATTATCAGCCATTATTCATCACTAGTTTTCGTATACTGTTTTTGTTACTGTCTGGAGTCCATCTCCGAAAAACCAATCCCTTATCTATCTGATGCTACATTGAATGTCATGTAAGCAAGGTTGCATTTTCAACATTTTCATCACAACACATTAATAAGATGGAATTCATTCACTCACTCACTCTCTTCCTCTCTCAAAGCTGTGGAGTTACCCGATATGGAAAATAAATTATGCTCGAAATGTTATCCACTAAAGGATATTGTTTCTTTATGTGACATTTCGAATAAACATTAAAATAGGTCAAATCGTACTTCATTTAACTTAAAAATGATCTTCAAAGGATAAAAATCTAGTGTTGTCCAAAATCTAAGCACATCAATACTGAAACTAAATAGAGATGAATCAAATGAAAAAAGGCGGACAGTGATTTAGAACAAATTCTTGCAAGTGATAATGAACAAGATGCCTAAAAAAGAGAGTGAAAGCAAGAAAGACAGCTAGTAGAACAAAAAAACAAAAATAATAAACATGCAGGTTATTCAGACAACACAATTTTCTGAATTGCATGCGAGAATAATACACTTATTTACGTTACTTATGTATGCTTCAGCCAGCTTACCAGGTAGATTACACATAGGATCGGCACTGGAGATGCCACTTGATCCACTGCTAGCCATTGGACTTAGTATTTTCATCATTCTACTGTCTTTCGATTGTTTATGAGCCGTTAAAGTGGATACACGTATTACTGTTGAAGTATAATATTATACACACATAACTATTTAATGAGTAGTTAAGTGTAGATAGTTTTAAAGGATAATATGAAAGAGATGGTATGTAATAATCAAACGGATGCTCCCATCAAGCTACATACAAATATATGGCTAGTTTCAGAAAAAAATTGTGAGTCTCATATAATCTAACACCGATACCACTGCAATTTCTTTGAGGTGGTAAAAATAAGACTACTCAGTTCACTTAATATATGTTTTGAAATTATTTAAGTGGTGTAGGTGAATGCAGCTACTGCCAATAAACTTCATTAGTCAGATGATGAAGCATTCATCAGAAAGTAACTAATCTCAGGAAATAGTAAGACTACTGTACATATGTACAGGTTAAAATGCCAACCTCATCCTAAACTACATATCTCTGTTAACGATAACTCTCAACTTGACAGCTGGAATACGGCAATGTACTTTGCAAGAAAGCAACTCAGTAGCCAAGGTTATGCGAATCTACTAAGCAATAAGCCACACTAACTGTAATGAATATGATGATACTACCTGGTCATTAAGACCTCCATATGTGAAGCAAGTTAAAAACCGCTAATGCCCAGACCCATTAACTACAACGTATACGTTGATATGAGTTAAATCACTACAAACAAAAGGTATTTAAGTCAATCGAATACTCGTTGAGGGTAGTAAGTGGTACCACATTGAAGAATATCTCATGGATCACTCTGAGGTACAAGAGCGATACAAGTTAACTACCTGATAAAATCTGCTTCGACACTACCGACATTCTTATTGATAAGCTTAGTGCTGTCTGAGTCTGACCGTTGGTTGCAATGTCTCTTATTGCTTAGTTCGAGAATATCTCTAGTGCGTTTCCACAAGCTGTTGAGAGCGAACCCATAACTCGTAACACTAACAATCAACAGTATATGCATATCTGAATTCACTGTGATGACTTAAAACACAAAGCAGTAAATCAAGCCTTGTAATAACTCGAAAAGAGAAAATGAACACCGAAATTTAAATGCAAATACATCTAAGTAATTGTGCAATAGACTGTAAAGCAAATTTATTACGTCAAAGATAATGATACTGCTGAATTTGGAACACTTGAAGTGGGTGATGTGTACATGAATATGCTACTTGATGGTTTTCGATCATTGTCAACATCAATAAACCACAGTTAATCTGGGTTGTGTATTTTCTAACCAAATTAAAAACGCTTTACAGATCACTTCTTTAGTCAAAACATGAAACTTTCTTCATAGGGAGATACACTATTCCCAATGTTAGTATTTTGTCACCATTTAGAAAACAAACGATTAAGACCATGTTATCCTAACTACCGATCTCATCTAAACGTTTTAAAGATTTATTTATGTATATGAACACAGTATAGAGATTAAAATGCGTTCATAATTACCTGAAGAAGCATAAGGATCGTGTGAAGTTGTACCAGGTGCAAAATTTCTTTCCATTCCACTTGATGTATGTAATAAGGTATCATATGCAGATCCTAGTCGGTCAGCTTCGGTTATGTGCTTCTTTATCGTCTCCCAAAATGAGTATAATGCATTCAGTCGTTCAGTTTGCTGTTTTAATGCATTCGTGTTCAATGTAATAGGCGATGATAGTGTCGTTAAGCGTCCATCAGCCGATAAAAGCATTTCTTGTACTTGATCGCGTGTTTGTATGTAGGAATCACTGAAAGATTCTCTTGCCTTTAAATCGTCTTCACGAGTATTCAACAAACGAAGTACTTGTGACCAACGATTATCTAAATTGTGAATATTTTCTTTAGCCAACTTAACAGCTGGATCATTGTCAGGCAGCCTGGATGTTAGAGCTTTAGTGGACTGACGTAAGTTGTCTAAATGAAGCTGACGATTCGGTATTTGCATCTAGTATAATAAGCAGTAACAATAGATGGTTTGAAAAAAAAATTATGACCAGAAAGATAATGATGAAATAACCACAAACCGGTAGGAGCAATGTCTGTTATGAGAAGATTAAGGATACCATGTAACTAATGGAACCCTAGTAGTTGAACAGGGAATGTAATAAGTGACAGTGTATATCATGACAATAGATTATGGTTGCATTATAGTGCGAATTGACAGAAGTTAAGAGTTTAGAACTTTGAATGCCAACCCATGACCAGGTGTTTATCGTAGGGCCCAAAGGTTCTCGGTTGCATCAGGTGTGGGATGCTAGGTGGACACAATGAAATTTCAAACTAAGAAAAGACGTATGTTTTCAAATCGTTCCAGCCCATAATGGAAACTATTCCGTTATTTGCATTGTCTAAATGATTATTATGTAACCCCCCTCCACTCTTGATTCCAATTTTTAACGCTAGCTTTATGACGTACCTATACTTTGTTGTTCAATAATAGACTGTTATATGCTTGTGGTATTTATAGGTACGACTAAACAGCTTTAGAAAATGATATTTTTGCAAAGGAAAATTTTCTGCACTGAACTATCTCTTCTTTACTTCCATAAATGAGAAAAAGAAAATTATTTCAGTTTAAAGTGAAAAATGAGGGAAATCAAAGCATACAATACAAGAGTAAACGTACTTTTATACTTTGAATTTTATGCTTAAAGTAATTTTCTGGTAAATTAGCTGTAGCTTGACTGCTCAACTGATTTCCTACTTGATCAAGCCATGTGTTGAACTCGTTCAAATCATTCTCACATTGAGCTAATTGGTTGCTCAATGTATTTAGTTGTGAAATTCGAGAAACAACATCATCCTTCAAAGTTTCAAGTCTACAAAGAAGTGGAAGTAAAAATACTTATAAAAATTATCATTGAAAAGCACTTTTGTGTAAGCAACAGGTAAACACAGCCAGATTGTAAATCAAAGGAAGTTAAGGACCTAGTTGGAAAATCTAATAATAAGTGAAATTTACCCATCCACTAATGAAGGATAATTCAATAAAGTGAGATACGTTGCACCAACCTAAGGCAGGCTACAAAATCAGTATCTCCTACTTGCTCACTTCCAGTAGCACACCACTGAAAACTTGGCAACCGTCAGTGACAACACCATTTGAAGTAAATTACAGAACTGAATGCTTCACTCTATCCCAAATATACTTCAACAGAATGATATACCTGTAGAGTTGCACTAAAAACTGTAACTAAACTGAGGTCCAAACCTTTACCGTGAAAATCGAGATCTCGGAAGCAATCTATCAAAAAACCCGAACGTTTAAAACCCAAGGTGCCTACGTTTGCCACTATACTAAATCTAATATTACACATTAGATTAATTCCTTTACTAGCCTTTTACTTAGTAAATTTATAGATGGTAAGAACAACAGATTCAGCATAATAGAGTGAATCCTTTTATTTCAGTGTTTCTCATCAGCTGCTCACAACTTAAAACAGCTTCAAAATCAAATTATGCAAAAATGTTTAAGTAATTGAATTGATTTTATAAAAAAAATATCGTTCTGAGATTTGAGGGGATTTGATTTACTTCTGGATGGTATTCATCACGAAATGACATCAGTTGGGGAACCACTGAATACCTGAGAGAACTCGACAGCTGTCTGTTTCTAATATGTGACTCATCAGCATTGTACACCCACCAGGGATCGAAGTCATAACCTTCAGGTTTCGCGGTATGCAAGTTACCATTCAAGCATTGGGTAGAAATCCAATGGTTCACCTTTCTCTGTCAATTATCGAAAAAAACGTTGGCTTCAACCCTACGAAAAGATGTGTGTGTGTGTGTAGTTTACAAAACTTTTGACATGTAAAAAATCGGTGGTTGAAGATATTAAGCGAAACTACTTGAAGCGTTTTTAGTGGCATAAATGCATACGCTTTATGATATTTTCGAAACCAAATAATCCATTGTTGCAGTCTAGCTTCTGATGATATCTTTGTTTTCTAAATCTTCCGCAAGTCTATATCATTGTGGAATGTTTCACGTGAATGAAATCAGCGAGGATTCTGTGAAAGGTCTGTGTAATAAATCTCTGACTGATCCATAGATATTAGATAGATTGTTCAGTTGCTAGTTGACTGAGTAGTAGATGGACACTAATGACTCAGAAATTGACTAAATCAGCCTAAGGAATTTAAAAAGCTATTTTTAACAATATCTTTTTGAACTGGAACGGCTGTTGGTGTAGTTGTAGGAAAGATAAACCCTAACTTTCCAATGTTATCATTACCGAACATGACTTGGTGGTAGCCAATACCAAAGCAACTTAAGACTAATTTTTTTAACTAGTAGAAATAGAACCAGTGTGTCTTTCGGGAAAACAATCTACTAATGTCACAATTCTAGGACTTTCTTTCATCCAAATAATCATGAAACTTAAAAATCGATGATAGAACTCTAGAAGCCATGTTAATCCGGATTTACTTGAATGTAGCTATTGATGCAGTCTGATAATGTTCAGACACAGCACCAACACAGCGTATATTCATCAAGCTATTTAATAGTTGCAATACTTTTAATTTAATCAATGTCTATTAAAAGTAAGCCAAAAATGTCAACAATCCAAAAAAAGAAAAGATCATTTATACCGGTTATCCAAAACATCTGTTTGCTTTAATTCTGATTGAACTGATCTAACTTTTCCAGGATCACTTGATTTGACCTGTTCAACTGTCTGATTTAAACGATTTCTTATTGTCTGTGAAGCCGATTGCATAGTGTTGATCTGTGCTAAGGTTTCATTCAGTTTAGTCAGTTCTGTAGGAAGTCTATCCGTTTTTATTATAATATCATCAATGTTACTGCCATCAGTTTTTTGTGATAGATTATCTCCAATTTGATTAGTTTGATTCATAAATTCATTTAAACACTCTTGAACAATTTGATTTGTAAGGATGTATTTCATAAATTGCTTTTCTAGCTTTTCACACTGATCATTTAATTGTTCCTGATAATTCAATGATTTCGATAATGGCTCAGTAATAACACTGATTAAATTAGTTGAAATTAAGTTAGCCGTTGTCAATTTCTCTTCAAGAGAATGCAAATCTACAGTTTTCAAGTTCTAAATAATTGAGAAAGAATATTTTGAAAATGTCATTATTATCAACACCATGTGAAATAAGTTTCAGAGAATTGGTAATCAACATTCACTGGGTTACTTTAACTAGACTGACCAAGTGAAAGTGATGCTTGAAGATGAAGCCAAGATCATATCATGAGATCCTAGTCGATATTTTCAGATAAAGATCAAAGCATGCTAAGCAATATTATGCTAGGTAGTTTGTTTTTGAAAATTATTTCACCCCGGGAAAGAGGAGAAATTCGTACAAACTGCCTAGACTCATAATTTGAATAAATATTCGAGTGTTACACTGGCCACATTGTACATAAAGCCGATGAAGCTAAAAAACGATAATCTAGGCACTCAGTTTTTCACCACAGGGTCATAGATTAAGATAAGCTATATCTTGTTTTTACCAAACAAGTTGGATAATATTGTTAATCGATAGTTAAGGTGGTCATCGTATAGTGATTTATTAAGCTCACTGAAGTTAGTCTCTGAAGTTAGCAACATGATAATTAAGTTTAGCGAAATCATGGTGTAGTGCGCTGGTTTCGGTGTTGGATGCACTGGACAAGGGATAGACAAGTATCAGCATGGTTGCGTACACATCTAGTCGATTAGTGATAACAAGCACGAATCATCAGTGCTCGGTACCCTGTATTATGAGTCTTCAAATCTTAGGCAAGTTTTGAAGTCGATTACATTAAATCCTTTATGGTTGCTGAGTTGAGCCATTTTCCGTAATCATTCTAAAGGCATCACTTCTGAAAAATAAATGACAGTGACTCAAGATTTCAGGCACAATCCCAGTGTGTTAACAAACGATACTTTTTCCACACAATACCGAATTTAGTAATATGTTCTACACTGCTTTTACTGGAAAATACCTAATTATTGGGATTATGAAGTAAGAGATATTTGGGTTCTCAATGTTGACGACATTAGGAGGGATTTAAGGCTTAGTTCCGAAGTGGCATAGATATTCATCATGGAAAGCAAAAAGAGATATACTGACAGAAAGTTTGAAAAAGTTTCATTCTTGTGAAAATGGTACACCTTAAGCAACCAGTTAAAGTAAAGCGATGACCATGAGAAAATTTAGGCAAAAGATGTAACCTGAAATAGGCTTCCGATCCCAAATTTTATCACTGTGGTTGTAGGCTGAATAAAGAGATGTAAAGTCTGATACGATGCAGTTTTCGGGACATCAACCACTATCACTATCGAAGTAGGATAACTCAGTTAACCCTGCGTCTATGGAAAGACATTCATGTATGCCATTTTCTATTCTCATAGTTAACCAGTTCTTTTTCCTTCCATATTGATACTGATACCATGGTCGTTTGAAGTTAACTAAGCTACTAGCAAATTGAAAAAGCCGTTCACATCCGATGAATTCTGTCCAAATACTGTATTGAAAGGGGAATAGTCACTGGTTTTCTGTTGGCTTAGTAATTAGCAGCTCCTCATCCGACTACCTTTCCCACAATTTTAGTAGCCTTAAATGCTGTTCATCAGCTATCCATATTGACTTTCATCTCATGATTACTGCATTGTTAACATTAAAATGATATATCTCACCCGTTCATCACTCTTCCCTTGACTGAAGATCAAAAGACAGGCATACTACGCCGCTATGCATTCTGTCCTGTTATACGGCCGTTGAAAGTAGAAAACATAAAGCGGTTAGAGAGTTTCGATCACAAATGTCTTCGTAGCATTGCTTGTGTTTGTTGGAATCCCCGTATGAGCAACATTGAAGTCAGGTGAAGGGTGTCAGGTAAGACAGACAAGTCAACTGATGAAATTGTGGACCTTAGTTGACTGAGATGCTTTGGACAGGTACTGCGCATGCTGAGTCACCCCTTACCTCTCCAAGTCATTCTAGAGGAGGTTGGATTGGTTGGAAGAGAGTTCAGGTTGGCCGGACCAAGACATGACAACAGTCGCTGAAGTCCTTGACTGTTAGTCTGAGTAGGGTTGGGAGATGTAGATTGTCTGGTTGGTTTGCCAAGACGGAAGGAATCAGTGCTTGAGGACTGAGTCTTGGTGACATGGTTAGAAATCGGTCATAGTGGCTCAGATGTATTCACTCCTTGATGTCTAAAGTTTATATATTCGCATTCACCTTTATCTTTAGATTGTTTATTCTCTCACACTACTGTGTCTTCTTTGATGTCACTCCCATTCTACTCACCTGTTATTTGTGTACTACTGTCAGTCATAACTGCTTCTAATTATATCTTATCTCACATTTCTCTACTTACCTTATGTAATGCAACTCTAATTTAACTGGATTCTGTTACTTAAACTTCTTTAGTGCTATAAAAGGAAATTTATTTACAATCATCAATGCATTAACTGGCAGCTAAAATTTGTTAGAATGGTCGTTAACTAATCTATTCAAGTTGAATGGAAGTGACGAAGATCCTATGAAAAGAACTGGCGTCATCTCACTCTTTTCTCGTTACATTGTTTAAATGCCACGAGTATTTTGAAAAACGATGAGTTATTAGTCGCTCAGATATATTCTTAGCACTAATCCTGAAAAATTATGGGAAAACAGTGTTTTTTAATTTCATTGCCCTCACATCCTGTCATATTTTATGAGCCGTAATTGATAATTCCCATCTACCGATCCCTTTAATCTATTAATCAAACGAAAATAAATTGTTAGGCAACTCTGAACTCAAAATTAGTTAACTGTAAGGACAACTGTGTCAACTTTATATATATATATATATATATATATATATATATATATATATATATATATATATATATATATATATATATATATATATACAAAGGTAGAGCATGATAAGGTTTGACAAAGATACATATTTGTTCAAAAGTTTCGTCTTCTCAGTGATATATTAGGTATCCTCCGTTTAGGACTATTAATCAGAGTAGTGAGTAATGATCAAACCATAAGCTATGATGAAATGAAGATTTCAACAAATAAATGTTTTTAAATAACTGAATACACCCATTTAATCATAGGAAAAGACAAGACGTAGTTTCAGCGAAGAAAAATGGCTGTGATTATAAACCCTTGTTTACATGAACAATCAATAAGATGTACAAATAAAGCTCACCTCTAAATCATTTTCAATTCTACTCAGATCACCTTGTAGTGCATATAACGTATTCAGCTGTTCTTGACTAATTTGTTTTATCTTATTAGGTGACAAAGTGTTCAGTTCATCTGGTCGTAGAATGCACTTTTGAATACTATTCAACTGTGATTTAATTTTGTCTAGTTGACTAAATGATTCAGACAATTGCTTTTGATACTGATCATAGATTGAATGAATTTCAGTAAGATGAGTTGATTGTGTCTCTAAACGACTAACCAATTGTATAAGACGATTGTTAGCTTCTTTGACTGTATTCTGTATTCTGTCTTCTAGTTCTGCATCATTTCTTTGGATTTCACCCTCGTATCGTTTACACTCCAAACCAGTGAAACGATTTAGTTTGGCATTATATGTTTTCTATCAATACAAAATGAGAAAAATAACCAAAAAGTAAGGTGATGACTGAACGTGAAATATCTTGAGAGTACAAGTCACTTATTATTTGACGTCATTAATGACGTTAAATAATCGTCACAATGCACCAGGTATTAACTGGATTTAAAAGTATGAATGATTGGATTGCGATCCAACGATTAAATTGTAATGTGCTCACACGCTGAGTTGAACTTCCTAGCTCGAACCCGTATGGATAATAGGTGCCAACTAACAAGATGTTCAAAACTAAGGTAGAAATATTATCCAGGGATTTCGATTTTCAAAAGCTCTTCAGTTTATATAAATTCATGATGAACATTACATTTATAAAAACAGATAAAATAAACTACAAGTGAATTGTGTTTCGATGGAAATTAGGGATTGTTTTATAGGAATAAAGCAGAACTGAAGGAGTTCTATTCTACAACTTATAAACACTTAACATTTAAAAAAAAGTGCAACTTCAAGCCTATAAATTTGACCAGTCTTTGAACTGTCTTTGCTGTTGACCTAAAGTTATGAAGAACTGATTGGAATAACCAATTGACGAATAAAAGGCATTGAATGAATACAGAGTATGAATAAGAAAGCAGAATAAAGACATTTAGACGTTATTCATATTCTATTACCTTGTTATCAGAATAACGATGAACAGATGCCATAAATTTCTGCATTACACTTGGTAAAGTACTGATAACATTCTTATGAATTGAATTATACTCAGTTAAAGCGGCTTTTAAGCGTAGATTAAGCGGAGCCATTTCATCCGGATGATTCAGTGTTTCAATTTGTTTGTAAACTGATTATCTTCCGTTGTTTCTTCTGCAGGTAATGCACTGACAACTAAAACAGATTCTAGATTTTCCAACAGATTGCGAAGGCCTTGAAGTTTGTAAGTGAGATGTTCTAATGAATCTAAACTATTGAGTAAAATTCGAACTCGACCTTCAGCTTCACTTTGCAGCTTAATGTTTTCGAAGGAAGAAGAAGAACAGAACAGAAGAAGCAAATAATGATTAGAACATATTTTCAACAAGAATTACTATTATTTGAAGGGTTGATGAAAATAGCTAATGCGTGTTTAACTGGTAGCAATTTGAAATAAACACTCATAAATACATTTAACTTCCCCTGGATATACATTCGAATGCAACTCAGATGTCAGGCGCAGCATTGTAGACTAGACAGTAAGTTGTGATACTATCTGGTTGCGTAGACTTCAGGAGGTTGAACTACCTCCATCAATGATTATCTAGTTTCCAGTGGTGAATTTGAGGATGTGGAACTCAAAGGGAAAAAGATAAGGTCGATGTAACAATGCGAACAACGTTTCCTGAAAATATTTTATCATGACCATCACCAAACCAACTGTATCAGGTAATTTATGATGCAGGAAGAAATATACTTGGTATAAGAACTGGTCATAGAACTGAAATCAATATAGCTATCAATTCCTAAGAAGTAATTGAAGTCTATCCAATGAGGTTGTAGGATAGCTACTGCATAATTATGTGTAAAATGGTGTATCGTCACTTGTCAACAAACAAAAATCATAACTGGTTGAAATGAGACTTGAGTTTTTTTTCAGCTTTGATCACTAATTCCCAACCAATGTTACCTCAGATTGCCTAAATGTTAATTGATCAGTTGTTGTCATTAATATTTGCCTGCTTTACTTAGATCATAGAAAGAATGATCAACTTGGAAATCAATGTGCCCATTGTTCATGAAACAGATGGATAATAACCTTATGGGTGAAGTAGGATTGGAGACGACGTCATTGGCAGTTGGATCCGATAATTTAGTCAGTAGGTTACACGACAGATAATCTGTAGACCATTGCCTTTTATTCGGTCACAATATAGGCTTTCGTTCAACTTAGTAAATCCTGTATAAGTAAGGTGTTTGCTGAATAGTGGGTGTAATTCTCTACCACACCAAATAACTTTTAACACCTACATAATCTTTTTGCAATAAAAACATGTATAGCGTGGTCAGTATGCAAACGACTTTGGTGCTTCATCTGTTATCTCTTGTTAGAATGAATCTCACTTGGCCATCAATTCATCAGCTGTAACTTAGAGATATTTAGAGAAGTGTAGGGTACTTGATGTCTGTCATCAGCATGTGCGGAATAAGTATTTGGGCATCTTCAGGAATATGGCTCAAATTCGATCGCAATGACACACACTTATTCACTCTTTATCACCTTTGGAGTTCAGAACTAACTAGCCTTTGCTTATTTCGTTATCTTTCAATTTTCTCTCGACGTAGGATCTTCAAAAATATACCTTTGTATATGGTTTTATGTTATTCTGTTTGTTCGTTTCACAATATCCGCTAGGTCAGTCAGTGATATTTGTTAAATTCAATTTTGTGTTGTGTCAATCTGAAAAGTTGTTCAGAAAGTTACAAATGGTAAGTGATGGATAACAGGGAAATGCAGGATGTTCATTATGTGGTATTTTCCCCTCATCATCTGGATGTACCTTCATTTCAGCGGATATTTTTGTTTTTACTACTACTATCCATTTAGGACCTCAGATGCCACGTTTTACAGTAAAAACAAAATGCAGACTTTAACAGTAGCTGTGTGATATTAGTAGTAGTCCAGTTGCATGGACGAAAATAATCAAGAGAGGAAACCAATACCTGTTAATAAAAGTGTCAGTCATTAACTGGGAATCATATTCAAAAATATTAACGAGAAAATTAAAAATTTGTTGAATATACGCATGCCCACAAAAGAATATGCAGGTTATCATAAAAATTATGCTATCTTATGAATGATATTAGCATCAACTTACATCTTCTAGTCGTGTTCTTAACTCTTGACACTTTGGTTGTAATGGCTTCCAAATATACTCTGGTTGATTTGTATTGCGTAGTGTTTCAACAGCTTGTTCAGCTTGAAATAGTATAGATCTACTTGTGGACTGATGGATACGAATTTTATCTAAAATCTCCTATAATCAACAAACATAAATATCTTCTTTTACTTTGTATTTCAAGGTGAATAATAAGACGGATGTTGATAACCACTTTCTGACCAGTGATTATATTGGCTGAGACCAAGCAACGACGAAAAATTTGAAATAGATCAAGAATTTCTTTCTATAAACCTAAGAATATACTTTTTTGTGGAAAATTCTTTTTAGTAAAGAAGCCATTGTCCAGTAATCTGAAGGTTTAGATCATTAAGATATGGGGTGAATATTATATATTTTACCTAGTTCAGAATGTCCAACAGTGGACTTCAAAGTGCATATTGTATTTTATCTTGAGCTTATCAAATAGCTCCACTTACTTGTGTTATTCTTCTCACTGAGACTTAAATTCAGAACCCATCGTTTCAAATACTATAATGCTATCCACCAGATTAATAAGAAATGATAACCGCATTCTTACAATCGGTACAGTTTGGTATTACAGGTTGTCATCACATGGCTGATCTCTTGAAGCTCATATTCCAACAATGAATTTGTATCGACAAACCAATAGTTGATCAACTGATGTCATCTTGAAATCAATAAATTCTCAAAAACCGCAAAACTGAATTACTGTCTAGTGTTCATTAGTAAAGTGATTCAAGATGGATTTCCCGAAGTTCTAGCAAGAAACCGTGACTTGTGTGGTCAACCAAATCGAACGTGAGAACAAGTACTCAACAACGACATTGGATGATCGTCGTACCATATAGCGAGTTAACAAAAGAAAGAAAATTTAGACCCTTAAGGGATGAATGACGACGAATTAATCACGAAACCCAGAGGTCCTAGGTTCAACACCTGGTGAGATCATGCGCGAGCACTGTCAAAGAGTCTTATACTAGGACAAAACAGCTCTGTGCAGTGCCCTCAGGTTTTTAACGCTTCCGCATCTTGAAATCAAAATTACTAGATTATACGCTCCTTTCTGTCTTACTTAGTAATACTGTTGTCCTCATATCTTAACTTCAAGGTGGATGATAAACAATTCAATTGAATTTATTATGAACTTGCAATTCATGACAAAAATACTCATGAGAATCTACATTGAACCTACTTGATGATCATCCAGAAGGTGACGATTTAGATTATCATCCAAATTTAAGTGTCCCATTTGTAAAATTTGTGACTCATAATCTGTCATCCATAAAGCCTCTTTGTCAAGAGCAGCGACTAGTTGAGAAATAAGACGTTTTGTAGTCTCCGATCCCGTAGGCTATAAAATAATTCATATAGAAATCATCTATTCATTTATTTATGTCAATTTCAATATATCATCATACGTTAAAATTACTGAAATATGCTCTATCAAATTATTGGGAAAGTGAAATCAATGATTATTTTTTATACACTACAACAAACTTTATACTGTTACTTATAATACTGTTAGTAGTAAACCTTGATATTCATTGATTTGCAGAACAGACCAGTAATTAAGACTAACTGTGTAAAACAGGTATAAGAGAAAGATGTCCCCCAGTAAACAAAAGTGACATTTCAGCGTATATAGTTCTTTAGCAAAATTACAACAGTTGCTTTTAAAAAAAGTTTTTTAAAGGGCGATTTGAACTTATTCTGTTCCCATATAAACTGAACTGTGTAATTGTAGAAGGAATCAGTTATTATGATGAGTATGATACTACTAAGCTCTATTGAATTAGTTAACGGCTGATTCTGACAAACCACTTTCGGAAATTTTATTCAAACCTGGAAATGAAAGTCAGTGTGGAAGATTCATAGTACAAAAAACGAAATGAGTTCCCATCATTCCATAGAGTTTGTTGTTCTTATACTACATTTTTTCCAAGGAAACGAACAATAGGCAATTTTGACGCTACTACAGGATTGAAGAAGACGAGTGATTCGCCACTATGAAACTGTGAAGTTCAAAAGGTTTTCTTGTAAATCATTGAGCTGAATGTACATATTATGATCTACTCAACAAGGTGTCGGAGTACGTCAACAGGAAATACTACTGATATCGTTCAGTAGTACATATTTTCTCTACTTTTCAAATTTCCTATGCTTCTTTAGAAAAAGCCATAAAGACTTTCTATCTTAATTTTGAAGCATTATATCCTGTAAGGGTGTGCTTTCCCATGCTGATAAAAACTGCTTCCTCTTCATTTAGTCGATCAGAAAAGATGCTGAAGGTAAGGGATACGGAAAAGAAAAAACTTTTTAGAAGTTATGAGTACTTTTGATAGTGAAATAGAATTCCAGACCTATATACAGAATATTTTCGCTATTCCGTTTCATAGTTATTCTGCATTAATCACCAGAGATAAAACCTTTCGTACAAACGATTTTGTTAGAACTGAGTCATCAAGGAATGCAACAAAAAAGTATTGTTATGGGCAATCCACTTTCTTGACCACCTCAATTATTATTATTGTTGTTCAGTATGAATGAACAGGATAAGTAGCAGGCTATCCAACTATTGATATCAAGTACCGTCTGTTTAGGTCGACAGCATCACTGTAAAACAAAGTTTCATTTAAAACCTGAGTGAGACAGAAGAACCATTTGAAGATCTTGGATAACTTAAAATTAAAAACAGCTACAAAGTAAAACTTACTAGAAAATCTGGAAAAATATAAATTCTCAAAAATGTAGTGCGAACACTTCATAACCGCTACTATTGATACTAATATTACTAATAAAATGACGAATAAGTAGTAGTAGTGATAATATATAGGAGTGAGGACAACAAAACACAAGACGACTAACAGCAATAATTAATAAATAAATGAACTCTAATAAACCAAGAGTGAAGCCAATCAGTTAAAACACATAGATGATGCCCTGTAGACAGCTGTCATGATGCAACTAATACAATAATTAGAATTGTCACTAGTATCAAATGCATATGTCATTAAAAAAGTGAACATGCTTTTTATAAATAAATGGCTGACAATACAGTAATTCCCGTGAAATTAGTTTTTTAGTTAAAGTTGCATTAATGTTTAAACGTCAACCACAAAAAACGTTCTCTCTGCATTGAAGACGATTAGTTCGTATCCAGTGATGAAATAAATAAATGCCCTTGAACATGAGGTTAAAGCGAATTCATAAGCTTATGATAAAAGTACAGATGGAAATAAAAGATGATGTAAGGAGTGAAGTGAGAGAAGGAGAGTGAAGAGGATATCAAATGTATTAGCAACAAGGAAATAAATCCTGTTTGTTAAAAACGTTAATACTAGCTGAAAATTAAGGATAAGATGCGGGTATTGTAGAAATGAACAAATGTAAACATACACTCAAGCACAAAGGAGAATTTTTTCGGCTGTCGGTAGGTGTACTATCAAAGACAGCAAAGTACACCAAGGGAAATCTATTGACAGACTGTGAATAAATAGTTAAATGTTAAGTGAATCACAATTTATGAATTATCAGTAATTCCAACTATGTATTACAGGGATTGCTTCCGATGCTAGTTGACTATAGCTAACTGAATAGAGTTTACACATGCATGTAGCGTTTTGATATTTTTCATTCATTCCGTTCACTAGTGAAAAAGCTAACCATACTCTGAGCACAATTAAGTGGGTGCATTTCAAGGGAATCACAGCAAACTTTCAAAAACAATCCAACAGAAGTAGAAAAAGCGGTTGAATAAAACAGTGAAACCTTTCTCTCGTAAATAAATACACATACATAAAGATTTCACTTGCATATATATATATCATGCCTTACATTTTACGAAATTTCCTAAACACTTCACGGTATACAAGTATTTAGAAAATATGCTACAGAAAGAATCCATCAACCAATAAATTCAAACAGGCGTAATATTTAGTAAAAGAATATGAGTTGAAGCAAATACCACTGAAAAAGTCGTTTTCTATTAGTCCTACTTACACAAGTGAAGAAACATAAAGTTCAAGTATACATATCTAGTATCCTTCGCTTCACTATACTGCACCTTTAGTAACAGTTTTAGTACGAATCGCCATGCTTCAAAACACTAAAACCAAAACATCAAGAAAATCACATACCTAATTAGGGAACACAAAGTCACAACCAAACGATCACAAACAGAACCAACAAATGATAAGGAAAGGAGCGAAAAGATGTAGCTAAAAAACAAGATACAAACACAAAAGAAGGAGGAAACGACAAAAAGAAGAAACTAAGCGAAAGATGTGAAAACAAACAAAATCATCCAAAAACAATAAATCACATAAAAACAGTCCAATGCCAAAAAATGAAAGAAACACAAGCAAGTATCCAAAAAAACTCCACAAAAAACTATCACTCACTCTGTCATCAGCCAACATGAGGCCTGACGGATGAGGCATGGATTCTCGCTGACACGTCGTGAAGTCACTCACACCACCAACAACACCTGCATCAGCACCTGCACCTACTCCCACACCTACACCTACACATACACATACACCTGCTCCAGCATCAACATCAGCATCAGCATCAGCATCAGCATCAGCACAAACACCACCTCGAGCCACCGCCACAACATCAACAACATCACCAACTCCAGGACAAACGCCAACACCAACACCAGACACACCACCTTCCATAGACGCAGCATCAACAGACTCACCAACATCTCTCACATCTGACAACCTACACACACCAACCTCAGTGACAGGCTCCAACGACTCTGTCGACGGACACACTACATCTCTCGATCTCGACGACATCGACTCAACAGCAAGGCCAATCAAACCTGCAGGCGCCAACAAACCAGCCAACAGCATCCTACCAAGACTCTCCAGACGTCCAGAACTCGGGTCGCGAACCAACGACCGCTCACCCGATATCAGTCCACTCTCCACAGCCTGAGCCAACGTCAATACCTCACCACTCGATGGATCTCGAACTAGTCCAGACTTCGTGTCGACAAGGCCCGCATCAATCGCCTCACGCAACTCCAGTCCACGTTGGTCACGCAAGTCAGACACTTCTACAGACCTCACACCATCGGACGACACCATCTCAGAGTCCAAACCACTCTCCACAACCCGTCTCTCCGGCATCTCCGAAAACAAATCAGAGGCACGCCTCGATTCCACGCCCATCACAACACCATCTCCACTCAACGACAAAACACCATCACTCATCAGCATCACTGACCGCTCCATGCCACCATCGACAACATCCACACCCACACCGGATACACCCGATACGTCGGATAAACCATACTCCGAAGACATAACACCCGGATACTCCACATTCTCTCCACCAACACACGTCCCATCACCCAGGAAACTCAAGTCACCACGTTCACTCACTCTGTCCTCAGTCAACATGAGGCCTGACGGATGAGGCATGGATTCTCGCTGACACGTCGTGAAGTCACTCACACCACCAACAACACCTGCATCAGCACCTGCACCTACTCCCACACCTACACCTACACATACACATACACCTGCTCCAGCATCAACATCAGCATCAGCATCAGCATCAGCACAAACACCACCTCGAGCCACCGCCACAACATCAACAACATCACCAACTCCAGGACAAACGCCAACACCAACACCAGACACACCACCTTCCATAGACGCAGCATCAACCGACTCACCAACATCTCTCACATCTGACAACCTACACACACCAACCTCAGTGACAGGCTCCAACGACTCTGTCGACGGACACACTACATCTCTCGATCTCGACGACATCGACTCAACAGCAAGGCCAATCAAACCTGCAGGCGCCAACAAACCAGCCAACAGCATCCTACCAAGACTCTCCAGACGTCCAGAACTCGGGTCGCGAACCAACGACCGCTCACCCGATATCAGTCCACTCTCCACAGCCTGAGCCAACGTCAATACCTCACCACTCGATGGATCTCGAACTAGTCCAGACTTCGTGTCGACAAGGCCCGCATCAATCGCCTCACGCAACTCCAGTCCACGTTGGTCACGCAAGTCAGACACTTCTACAGACCTCACACCATCGGACGACACCATCTCAGAGTCCAAACCACTCTCCACAACCCGTCTCTCCGGCATCTCCGAAAACAAATCAGAGGCACGCCTCGATTCCACGCCCATCACAACACCATCTCCACTCAACGACAAAACACCATCACTCATCAGCATCACTGACCGCTCCATGCCACCATCGACAACATCCACACCCACACCGGATACACCCGATACGTCGGATAAACCATACTCCGAAGACATAACACCCGGATACTCCACATTCTCTCCACCAACACACGTCCCATCACCCAGGAAACTCAAGTCACCACGTTCACTCACTCTGTCCTCAGTCAACATGAGGCCTGACGGATGAGGCATGGATTCTCGCTGACACGTCGTGAAGTCACTCACACCACCAACAACACCTGCATCAGCACCTGCACCTACTCCCACACCTACACCTACACATACACATACACCTGCTCCAGCATCAACATCAGCATCAGCATCAGCATCAGCATCAGCACAAACACCACCTCGAGCCACCGCCACAACATCAACAACATCACCAACTCCAGGACAAACGCCAACACCAACACCAGACACACCACCTTCCATAGACGCAGCATCAACCGACTCACCAACATCTCTCACATCTGACAACCTACACACACCAACCTCAGTGACAGGCTCCAACGACTCTGTCGACGGACACACTACATCTCTCGATCTCGACGACATCGACTCAACAGCAAGGCCAATCAAACCTGCAGGCGCCAACAAACCAGCCAACAGCATCCTACCAAGACTCTCCAGACGTCCAGAACTCGGGTCGCGAACCAACGACCGCTCACCCGATATCAGTCCACTCTCCACAGCCTGAGCCAACGTCAATACCTCACCACTCGATGGATCTCGAACTAGTCCAGACTTCGTGTCGACAAGGCCCGCATCAATCGCCTCACGCAACTCCAGTCCACGTTGGTCACGCAAGTCAGACACTTCTACAGACCTCACACCATCGGACGACACCATCTCAGAGTCCAAACCACTCTCCACAACCCGTCTCTCCGGCATCTCCGAAAACAAATCAGAGGCACGCCTAGATTCCACGCCCATCACAACACCATCTCCACTCAACGACAAAACACCATCACTCATCAGCATCACTGACCGCTCCATGCCACCATCGACAACATCCACACCCACACCGGATACACCCGATACGTCGGATAAACCATACTCCGAAGACATAACACCCGGATACTCCACATTCTCTCCACCAACACACGTCCCATCACCCAGCAAACTCAAGTCACCACGTTCACTCACTCTGTCCTCAGTCAACATGAGGCCTGACGGATGAGGCATGGATTCTCGCTGACACGTCGTGAAGTCACTCACACCACCAACAACACCTGCATCAGCACCTGCACCTACTCCCACACCTACACCTACACATACACATACACCTGCTCCAGCATCAACATCAGCATCAGCATCAGCATCAGCATCAGCACAAACACCACCTCGAGCCACCGCCACAACATCAACAACATCACCAACTCCAGGACAAACGCCAACACCAACACCAGACACACCACCTTCCATAGACGCAGCATCAACCGACTCACCAACATCTCTCACATCTGACAACCTACACACACCAACCTCAGTGACAGGCTCCAACGACTCTGTCGACGGACACACTACATCTCTCGATCTCGACGACATCGACTCAACAGCAAGGCCAATCAAACCTGCAGGCGCCAACAAACCAGCCAACAGCATCCTACCAAGACTCTCCAGACGTCCAGAACTCGGGTCGCGAACCAACGACCGCTCACCCGATATCAGTCCACTCTCCACAGCCTGAGCCAACGTCAATACCTCACCACTCGATGGATCTCGAACTAGTCCAGACTTCGTGTCGACAAGGCCCGCATCAATCGCCTCACGCAACTCCAGTCCACGTTGGTCACGCAAGTCAGACACTTCTACAGACCTCACACCATCGGACGACACCATCTCAGAGTCCAAACCACTCTCCACAACCCGTCTCTCCGGCATCTCCGAAAACAAATCAGAGGCACGCCTCGATTCCACGCCCATCACAACACCATCTCCACTCAACGACAAAACACCATCACTCATCAGCATCACTGACCGCTCCATGCCACCATCGACAACATCCACACCCACACCGGATACACCCGATACGTCGGATAAACCATACTCCGAAGACATAACACCCGGATACTCCACATTCTCTCCACCAACACACGTCCCATCACCCAGCAAACTCAAGTCACCACGTTCACTCACTCTGTCCTCAGTCAACATGAGGCCTGACGGATGAGGCATGGATTCTCGCTGACACGTCGTGAAGTCACTCACACCACCAACAACACCTGCATCAGCACCTGCACCTACTCCCACACCTACACCTACACATACACATACACCTGCTCCAGCATCAACATCAGCATCAGCATCAGCATCAGCATCAGCACAAACACCACCTCGAGCCACCGCCACAACATCAACAACATCACCAACTCCAGGACAAACGCCAACACCAACACCAGACACACCACCTTCCATAGACGCAGCATCAACCGACTCACCAACATCTCTCACATCTGACAACCTACACACACCAACCTCAGTGACAGGCTCCAACGACTCTGTCGACGGACACACTACATCTCTCGATCTCGACGACATCGACTCAACAGCAAGGCCAATCAAACCTGCAGGCGCCAACAAACCAGCCAACAGCATCCTACCAAGACTCTCCAGACGTCCAGAACTCGGGTCGCGAACCAACGACCGCTCACCCGATATCAGTCCACTCTCCACAGCCTGAGCCAACGTCAATACCTCACCACTCGATGGATCTCGAACTAGTCCAGACTTCGTGTCGACAAGGCCCGCATCAATCGCCTCACGCAACTCCAGTCCACGTTGGTCACGCAAGTCAGACACTTCTACAGACCTCACACCATCGGACGACACCATCTCAGAGTCCAAACCACTCTCCACAACCCGTCTCTCCGGCATCTCCGAAAACAAATCAGAGGCACGCCTCGATTCCACGCCCATCACAACACTATCTCCACTCAACGACAAAACACCATCACTCATCAGCATCACTGACCGCTCCATGCCACCATCGACAACATCCACACCCACACCGGATACACCCGATACGTCGGATAAACCATACTCCGAAGACATAACACCCGGATACTCCACATTCTCTCCACCAACACACGTCCCATCACCCAGCAAACTCAAGTCACCACGTTCACTCACTCTGTCCTCAGTCAACATGAGGCCTGACGGATGAGGCATGGATTCTCGCTGACACGTCGTGAAGTCACTCACACCACCAACAACACCTGCATCAGCACCTGCACCTACTCCCACACCTACACCTACACATACACATACACCTGCTCCAGCATCAACATCAGCATCAGCATCAGCATCAGCACAAACACCACCTCGAGCCACCGCCACAACATCAACAACATCACCAACTCCAGGACAAACGCCAACACCAACACCAGACACACCACCTTCCATAGACGCAGCATCAACCGACTCACCAACATCTCTCACATCTGACAACCTACACACACCAACCTCAGTGACAGGCTCCAACGACTCTGTCGACGGACACACTACATCTCTCGATCTCGACGACATCGACTCAACAGCAAGGCCAATCAAACCTGCAGGCGCCAACAAACCAGCCAACAGCATCCTACCAAGACTCTCCAGACGTCCAGAACTCGGGTCGCGAACCAACGACCGCTCACCCGATATCAGTCCACTCTCCACAGCCTGAGCCAACGTCAATACCTCACCACTCGATGGATCTCGAACTAGTCCAGACTTCGTGTCGACAAGGCCCGCATCAATCGCCTCACGCAACTCCAGTCCACGTTGGTCACGCAAGTCAGACACTTCTACAGACCTCACACCATCGGACGACACCATCTCAGAGTCAAAACCACTCTCCACAACCCGTCTTTCTATCTTCTCCTGCAATCGTTCTGAGGCACTGCGGGATCTACATTCGATGTCTATATCGTCTTCTTGCTTATATATTTCAAGGGCATTTATTTTTTGTTGATATTGATTCGTGTTTGTTATTTCGTTTTTTATGTGTTGGTTTATGTTGCTCGTGATAGGGTATGATTTTGCCTCTTGTGTTCGGATTTTCGCTGGTATGTTTTGAGTTGAGTTACTCGATTCATTTATGTGTTTTGTCGTGGTAGTTTTATGAGTTGTTTTCTGTTTGTTTGTTTCGTGCTTTCCTTTTGGTGTGTCTTCTTTTTCGTTTATGGCGTGTATTATGCCCGCTACTTTTTCTCCTTTTATCGTCGTTTCTTGGTCTAGTTGAATCGTTGTAGGCTGGATTAGTTTGTGTTGTTTATTTTTTCTTTGTTTGCGTGTTTCCGTTTCTGCTGCTTCGATATTTTTGTGCTCAATGGTTTCCGATTTCATATTTATGGTGTTTGTGAGGTAATCAGTTAGCTCCTGTGCAGGACTGGCCGTTTGTATTTCAGGAACAATGTTTTCGTGGTTGAATATGTGAGTTAACGGTGATGTTACATTGTTTTGTAGCACAGTTTTACGTAATAATTCTTGATCGCTCTCGCTGAGACTTGTTTTTACTTTGACGTTTATTCTTCCGCGCCCTACCCTTTGTGTTTCTGCTGTTCGTAATAATAAGTTTAACAGGTTTGATCGCCAGTGAGTACATACCAACTCTGAAGACACAGTCTGAATTATCAGATTGGTTGCATCTAATAATGTGGCTAAACTGTAATATACAGGAATTGGTTGGTCACCATATAACGGATGCTCATGTAAGTCATCTTCAGTTTGGTGTTGTACGCAGACTAATAACTGAGATGGGTCAATCAATGCTTCTTCTACAGCTTCCAGTAAATTTAAAGTGCTCGTCCGTCCGCATTGAGTTCTCAATAAACCATGGTATGGATCTATCCACCCTCGTTGTATAGCAGTTTCAAGGAGTAGATAACGTGGGGCATTTTGAAATGATTTTGGTATAATTTTCGGAGTAGGGTCTGGATGCTGGTATCTTACTAGGGATAAACTGATTGCTGGTAAAGTGGTGCTATCCACTAAGATAATCGGTTGCAGAGGATGCACCGGTGATTTCAATGGAAGTCTTGATGACTTTCCAGAAAACAAATGCTAAATGATCAAAGGGTTGATAAATTCAGAAATGAAATGAGGAGATAACCGATAAATGAGAGGAAAATTCATAGAGATATTTTAGCACAAAAAAATCATATATATATATATATATATATATATATATATATATATATATATATATATATATATCAACAAACATGCACACATGCATGCGTATAAACCAGCGATGCAGGTAGGCAAAACAAAGAAAGCCAACAGACAAGCAAGCGATGGTAGAAGCAATGCAACATAAAATATACGGGACGAATACGCAAACAAGCATTAAAGCAAGAGAATGCAAAGATGATTGAGGGATTTCAAATAAACAGTGATTTTTCATCATATTATTATTATCACAATGATGATGAGGATGATGATGGCGATGGTGATGGTGATGGCGATGGCGAAAATTATCATTATTGTTTAAGCATGTAAGATAAATAATTATAACAATAATGACAATAATAGTAATCATCGGTGACAACATTGACACAACGCAAAAGGAGGAAAAAGAGGAAAAGAAAGAAGTTTAGTATTAGTTAACAATACTGATGCTTTAAATTTTTCAGCAAAAACAAAATCTATAGAATTAGTTAGCATATAATTAAATAAGCATAAATATAGTATTAGCTGCATTTCAGTCAATTCCTAAAAGTGGAAAGATTTTACAGAGCGGTTTTAAAAAGTGATTTAAAAAGCCACTCTAGCAACTGTTGAAATAACCAATCACGTTTCGGTATATCGGCTGGATAGGTAGTTATTTGTCAAACAAAGAAGTGCAAATAGTTATCTCAGCAGTCATTGGGATAGCCTCTAAAGTCACTCATTGTTGATATCCGATTATCACAGTATCCGAGTGACACTTCTTCATATAGTATTCGTTTAGCATCTAAAGTCCGGAAAAAATGATTCCAGCCAGTATATTCCTTGGTATTTCGTTAAAATATTTATTAAAGAGTAAACAGGAGTAAGCTGAGGGAAGATAGCCTAACTCGCATAATTTCTTATCAGAAACGCACATATAGCAATCAGTTAATTCATTTGTTATAATTTTTAAAACATTTAAAGCAAAACAATAAGTTATTGTAACCAGTTTTCATGTTCCATTTTATCATAGTTACTGCTGTTCAGAAAACGCATACTGAATTACTGTCGACTGACGGACTGACTTAAAACATCAACGTACAACCTCACACAAGTGCATTGTTTTAGGTTGCCACACTTCATAGAAGTACACTAAGGACATATAGATAGAAAAACAATGATATCAAAGTAGACGAAGTTGTGTGAGAGAATAAACAATCCGAAGATAACAGATAGTTCGAATATTCAGACTTTAGAAAGCATCAAGGAGTGAATACATCTAAGCCATTGTCAAAGATTTCCAGCCATGTCATCAAGAGTCACTCCTCAATCACTGATTCGTTTCGTCTCTGAAACCCCAACTAGGCAGTCTACATCTCCAAACATAGCTCAGACCAACAGTTAGGGGCTTTATTAACTGGTGCCACATCTTAGTCTCGCCAACCTGAACTCCCTCCCAACCTAATCCACCTCCCCCTACTATTGCACATCATGGGAGGTGATGGATGGGCATCCACAGTACTTGTTCAGACCATCTCAGTCGACTGAGGTTCACAATTTCATCAATCGACTTGTCTATGTTGCCTAGTACCCTTCACCTGACCTCAACACTCCTCACATGGTGATTCCATCATTCACGAGCAACGCTGCGAAAATATCTGTAATCGAAAACTTGCAACCACTTCATGCGTTCTACTTTTAACGGTCACCTCTCATAACTGTATAACAGGACAGAATGGACTACATTGCAGTATACCTATCCTCAACTCATTCCACCATGCAAGTTGGCAAATGCCAAACAGGCCTTCTGTGTCTGAGCTGAGATTTCGTCAGTAACCATCCTGTTCATTCTGATATAACTCCTTAAGTAAGTGAAGTGGTCGACTCATTCCACCACTTCATTCCCTATCATTAAGCTGGGAGTCATTGGACAAGATTCCTGGAGCATTATGTTGTATTTGACGGGTGCGAAACATATGTGCCATGCGTTACTGCCTATTTCTTGAATATCATCACCTGCTGAATAGACATTTATCACACCTAATCCGTAAATTATCTCAAAATGAAGTGAAAATGTTTTAGTGCTGCAATTCAACCGAAATTTCTCTGGATACCTTCATTTCGATGTATATACGCCTCTGTTCATAGTTGTGTACCTCTATTCGTAGTTTTATTATTGATTCAGTAATTTATTGCCAACGTAACTGATTTGCTATAGGGTGACAGACAGACACAGCCAATTAAAATCTTGGCATAAAATTTTATCAGTCCAAATTTTCAGAATATGTTAACACAAATATAAATAGCATGAGTGGAACGACAAGAAGTAAATCTATAAAAGTTTGACAAAAAGTCAAATAAAATCAAAATTTAAACGATAAATTTCAAGAAATGATACCATTTGAAGAACCAATGGATAGTTCGTTTTTATTCAGAACTTTTCAGTAGTCTCAACTTCTCTAAATGTCGAACCCACAAACTTCACATCTTGTGATGGATATATAGTTGTCATGACACCGAACTTTTGACTGTTAGTATCATCTAAGGATATTTATCCTCCCAACAAACGTTTTAAGGTAATATCGTGGGCTTAGTATGACAAAAATAACGTAATGGTAAGAATTAATCGGGCCAAAAACAGGAGTTGAGAGCTGTTTGCCAATATGGGCTTCGCAGATTGACAAAAATTCAGTTAAAATATATTCTAGGTAAACAAATGTCCCTAAACTACTATTTCAATGACAATTGTTAATTGTTAGGAGTTGAAACAAAAGGAAATTTAATACCAAACGTTTTGATAAGAAATTTGAAGAAATTATGAAAAATGAAGTTGAGAATAAGAGGGTATTGCATGGAGAATAGAGAGAGAGAATAATCTAACCCACATGACAAGAAGGTTTCAGTAGAAGATAATTTCACAATCAGACGGAACTCAACTGCATAATACTTAAACGATTCTTACCCGAGTAGTCCAACCAGTTGTACTAACCATTAATACCTGTTGTATTTCAGTGGTTGATAGAATGTTGTTAGTGTTACATTTAAATTTACAAACACTAGAAACTAAATCGACAAAAACAAAACTTTGTCAACTTGATCATATTCTAGATCTGAGCTTCTTCAATACATATGAGCAATGAATTCACGATATAGTAGAGAAGTTACGTATAGGTTTATAAAGTGCTTTCTCAAGTAAGTGTATAAGCACCAGATTTTTGAAAAGCTGTGTAGCACAACGTGAATAGATAATGACACCGCTGGTGGACGGTGAATAGAATTGCCTCAGTTGACAAAATCGGACTCAATTAGACTTAGATAAAACATTCTATTTTTAAAATGTTAAAGTATGAACATATGAATTTTGAAGACTGACATAAGTTATGTTTAGTATTAACGTCTTTTCCAAACAAGAATATTATTAAGAAAATTAAGCTAATAACTGTGCTGCTAAGGCTTACCTGACTAGCTTTATCTAAGGCTTCTTTAACAGGAGCAGAGTGCTCACTCGGATGAATGTCTGATAGAAGACCAGATTCTCTCTTTTGCTTAGGCTGATTATTTTCAATTGACTCAGTCCGATAATCTGATTTCAGTTGATATCTCATAGTGGAGTCCGTCGGTGTACGATAATTAGGTCGACAACTTGGAGGTGTTTTACATGGCATTTGACGTTTTATATTCAATGTTGTTTGAGGTGAAGAAAGTGTGGACCTCTGACCAGTTGGACAAGTTTCTTTGGCTAAGTTCTGTGGAGGAATTTTACTGCCACGACGAACTGTATGCACAGATGTTGTAAAGGTGGTACTTTCTTCAACTGTACGTACATGAACATGGTCAAACGAACCGCCAATTAAGTCGAATGGTGGTGGATTACCGACAGGTAACGCTTGTATCCAACCTTGATAAAGTGCCTCTTCTATTGAATATAAATTTCCATTAACTGGATGAGTATATGTGCAATGGATGGGATCGATAATTCCAGTTCCTATTGCATCTGTTACAGAGACGAGACTATTTAAATACGGATCGAATACTCTTTCTAAACGATATATATCATGACGATAATGGAATACTTCTAACCAGTATAGTGGATTAGAAGTCTGTCGACCATCTTCCAAAAGTTGTTCAGCTTGAGTGAAAACAATTCCAAAAACAAAACCTTTTGTTAGAGCTTCAGGGATTGGGAAGAATTTTCCGCTAGTTGGATCGCAAATGATCTTTTTGCATACATCAACACGTCCTTCACGAACCATTGTATCTGTAATAGAGGCTTCAACTCGCACATCGTCATGTAGGTAATAGAAAGCATAGAGAACGCAGTTACGCTCTTTAAGTTTAGGCATTTCGTAACTTTTTATTCTAGGCTTCTTGCGGATAGTATATTCATCTCCATTATCACTATCATCATTACCTTTCGATTTTGGGCGTAAATTACAATGCGATGATTTACCACGTAGTCTTCCAACGCCATGACAATCTAAAAATTTGATTATTTTAGATTCAGTACGACCACCTGTAGCAATGAAATCATCTCCATTACTCATTACATGACCAGATGAGGTAACTGGAGGCAGAGTATTGTTACGTGATACTGTACTGGTTGGATCTTTTAAACTTTGACGCTTTATTGCTATTAAAGAATCCATACTGTGGGTATACCCTTTATTGGGTAATCCATTACTACTTTCATGTAGTGTCTAAAAATATAAATAAGTAATTTACAAGACTTTTATTAAGAAATAAATAATTCCAACTAATTACAGTTAGAAATATAAGTGAACTAATTAATCAGAAGCTTTGAAAATTAATTTGAAAAAACATATCTTTCTTACAAATAACCCAGGAAAACTGCAAGCGGAACATGGAAGACACATCCGATTTCGTATTGTTAGCCTTCATCCACATCTATGACATATTAACTGACTGGGCCGTTAGACTGCTTAAATGAAAGCAGGTGGAATTCGGACTGGGGTGAGGAAGCGTGTCTTTATACTAGCGAAAAATCAAACTGAAGAAAATGCCAACAAAAAATGGATTTCGATGGTCATTTCGATATTGAACCCGTTTACATTACAATTCACCATTGTGATTAGATGAATAATTTATGGGTTTCTTATCGAAAGAAAATAATTGGTTTATCAATGCAACCAATGAAAACTAATTCAAAGTATCTATCACGTTAACCAAGAGGCGTCTTAGAACCGAATGTACAAAGAAATGTATCTATTTCCTATCCAACATTTCTCTAGAAAAGTGTCTGTAGAATAGTTTAGTTTAGTTACTTAGAGATATTTTTTAATAGTTAAAGTATATCTACTTGGAAAAAGCATTGGAACACATTCCAAAAATTTCGTAATGGTCATCTTTATTTACAAACTATGTTTTTCAGTCACTTCTTTCTATGATGAGTAGTTTTGACTAGATGTTGTACTACGATTCATATGTTCCTCAGGTTCAGTAGATGATTGAATTCAAAAATTGCAGGGTTTTTGTGAGAAAAGCTTTGAGCCATGCTTAAGTACAATACCATTACTTTTATCTCGAACTGGGTTACTGATTTCGCAGGTACCTTTTGCAAATGCGGTTTAAGCAGATATTATCAACAAAGAAGAAATTTTCCATCTCAGATAAAAGCCATTATTATTTTAGTGAATAAGATGATAAACTGTTATTTGTTATTGTCATATCAGTAATTAAAGAGATTTATTGATGAAACATTCTTACGTTATTTCAAACACAACAAACAGTGGTCTCAATGATGGCATGTAACGCAACGCTACTCAATAACCACTTGCGGGTTTCTGGTCTACACTGTAAGAAATGTCTACTTTCTGTATGAGGGCTAATTATACCACCTGAATGTTCAAACAACGATTGGCGAACTGGGATTTAAATCAGTGACCCACTTACTGGTTGAAAAAAAGAGTGATTATGTCTGTGAGACGCAGCTCCTTGCACTGCCTAGCATAAACAGCCCATATTTATATCAGACCACTTAGCTAGATGATAAAAATCGACAAATCGACAAATTTACCCTATGACGTGAATGTATCAGAGAACGTTGCTAACGTACACAGTTACTAACTTGTATTGAAAACATAAATACTCAAATTACTTTGATATGAGTCAGCAAACGTGGTGAATCACGTGGTCAGTTTTAAGTTCGTCATGGTGAAAAGAATTCTACTTTTTGTGAATGACTAAAAACAAAGGGTACTATTCTACCAACCAAAAGGTATACAAATCCATTAAGTCAATACATTTGTAGTGAAGTTCTCAGTTTGTGTTACTGGAGGTTAAGTTTACTTTGCCTAAGTCTAGAGGGTAAAATCAGTTGTTTCAGTAGAACCATGTATTGTTAATTGAGAGATGACATTTAGAGTGTCAGAAGGACTTATTATCAATGTTACTTAAAATCATATCAATGTGACTTAAACTGTGACCTGGATGAACTAAAAATATGAACTTAGATCATCAACTTCCAAACCAGCAATTTATTCGCTCAACTGTGATAAACTATAGACGTACAAGAACTGTATTATGCGCCTAAAACAGGAATGATGACAGTAAGTAAGCCACTCCTATTGAAAACGTAGACAGATTAAAGGGAGTTAGATACGCTATGGTTGTTTCTTTCGTTAGAAAAACTTCACCGGTAATGAATTCCTCATTTAGAATTACCTCCACTAAAGATTTAAAGTCATTTGCCTTTAACTGTTTCCTGTCGTGAAATTCCCTCATCACTCGTTCCTACCTAAGAATCTCCTCAGTTTTCCATCACATTTGTGAGCTTAGTTTCAGCTGACGATGCATTATCCAACAGATTTGAACACAGTGAATTTCAGTTTCACTTCAAAGAATTCAAGTATGTCATTTAATCATTTCTAACTGTCGCGAATGATCAGGATAAACCTTTCTTAGATGTTGGATAGTGTTGAAGTAGACACATAGTCTTGAAATTCGTTAAGTAATCTGCAATTACCTATATCAGTCAGAAGCGTATGGCACACAGTATGTATTCTTATATGCTTGGTAGTATTACGATGATTATGCAAAGCACAAGCTGTCACCTTGATATTTTTTCAAAACAGAATGCATAAATTTCACTTGTTTAGGTAACTTTTATTTCCACCTATGAACGCTGAAAACAAACTCAGTCAATTACAAGAATTCATCTGAAGACATGATATTTATGAGGATATATAGCACGGCATCAAGATATAGTAGACTTATTCTGACAAACTTTGATGCACACAAAATAACAGTAAAATAAGTTTAATTTTTTTTAAAGCATTGCTATGTAGTAAAATTCATGGTGAAAGGAACACCAGTAACCTTTAGTTAACGAAAACAAACTGCAAAAGTATAGTATAATAGTAAGTTGTATTTAGCACAGCAATTATGCGTGAGTTCATGCACTAAACAATGAGTTACACCCACTATATGAGAGTTGATGATACTACGTGGTTTTTCGAACCTTCTTAAGTGGAGCAGGGTTAGAAACCGTGATCCACTGGTTGAAAGTCAGCTACCTAAACTAGTGAGATACAGAAAGCATTCGAAACAGAAATCAACATTTCAAGTCATTGATCCCTAAGGTGAAAGTTCTTCAGCTTCCATTACTGATCCAGACAGCTGTATGGTCAGGATGAACCCACTGAACAGTTTGACCTTTCTGTTTACCAATCAGAGCATTTTTAGTAAATGGAAATCGCATAAATACATAAGGTGTCTTATTGCTGAATAAAAGCTGTTGTTGCAGCCACATGTCAACTTTCGTCTTCTGATATTGCAGCATCATTACTTATTTACTAAGGTCTAAAGTCAACTGCCTGACTTCAAACAGGGAGTGGTCAAAATACAAATCAATTTTTCAAGTCTCTGGCCTCTGATGCTAAAGTTATTTCAGCTTCGAATGATGATTTATACGGCTGCGAAGTTTAAACAATCTTAGTGAACAGCATGCTTTTAATTGAACTAATCAGTCATTTACTTCATCCAATGTTTATGTACCTGAAAATGTGTTCAGCGAAGCGTACGGTAGTAGGAGAGAGTAGCAACCATCAACCATCACCAGGTAATGTATTTCGAAGCAATTGGGCGTAACATCTGGGTCGCAATCAATTCAGGACACATGACAGAACTTATAGTAAAAATAACTATATTATAAAAAGGCTTACTTCAACAGCTGGAGGTCTTAATAATCCTTGTTTAATGGCATCATGAACACTGATAGAATTAGATGGACCAGAAATACTGACGTCATTCGATTGATGAAAAGTATTCGTCACTGGGTCAATTAGTCCATTTGCAAGAGCTTTTTCAAAAGTAAACATTCCTGTTGATGACAATTTCTTGTCAGTCACTAAACCACGAGTTATAGCTTCACTCAAAGGAATCCATTTATTTCTATGCAATAAAACACCTTTATGATCATTGACTAGACCGAGCAAAATAGCTTTATCCAAAGGATACCACTTTTCTGTTGCGAATTCTTTAACCAAGGAATTACCAACATCAATTAAGCCCAAAGTAATAGCTTCATTTAAAGATATAGAATCCACATATTCGGATAGCTTGATAACACACTTTGATCCAGATTGTTTCACCAATTGACCACCATGAAATAAACTAACTAAGTTATACGGTGGTGTCTTGTCTGTACAGTCTATCTTAATACTATCATGGGAAACTTCATAATCTGTATTATGAACTGATATATAACCAAGTTGTTGTGCTGATTCAATTGAAATACTTGGATTAACGCCGTTATACGTGAAAGATTCCAAATTGATGAGACCTTTTTTTACAGCTTCATTGGGCTCGATTCGTAGGCTGGTGTGTGGATCGAGTACATTTAAAATTTTATAAGTACAAGTCTCTTTGACAGACACAATTTCAAATGATTCGTTCATTTCTGGATTATTCGACTGAGGTTTGGATACACTTCCATTCTGATAGGGAAATTATCGGAAGAGTAACAGATGATGACATCTCAGAATGACAACGAAAGTAATAAAAAATCAAATTGTATGAAAAAATTACAATTTTGTAGAATGCAAATTAGACTGAGACAAACACGATAAAACGAGGCAGAATATCAGTAATTTGGGAAATTAATATTTTGATAGAACTGTTCTTTGTACAATTGAGAAATATTATTCCACGGAACACATCCAGTAGTAAATATTTTGCGTTTATCCAACTGGAAAAACCATTGGAAATCCAACCAAAAGCTTATTAGTTACTCGCAGACTGACCTAGCACTACCTAAATAAATCTCGCATATGACTATGGATGCGAACTGATAAGAATGAAAATAACGTTCTTAATTGTTTTGTATCTGATATCAGTCTGAAGTGAAAACTATTTTCATTTAGCTTACTAGCTGTCGACCTAACATAATCTCCGACCTATATTATAGAAAATATTGTCCTGCTGGGTGAAAACGCTGACAAAACGCAGATTCTTCTCAACGCGTTGAGCAGAATTCTGAGTACGTTTGGCACGCGTTTCGCACCCGTCAAATACAACATAATGCTCCAGGAATCTTGTCCAATGACTCCCAGCTTAATGATAGGGAATGAAGTGGTGGAATGAGTCGACCACTTCACTTACTTAAGGAGTTATATCAGAATGAACAGGATGGTTACTGACGAAATCTCAGCTCAGACACAGAAGGCCTGTTTGGCATTTGCCAACTTGCATGGTGGAATGAGTTGAGGATAGGTATACTGCAATGTAGTCCATTCTGTCCTGTTATACAGTTATGAGAGGTGACCGTTAAAAGTAGAACGCATGAAGTGGTTGCAAGTTTTCGATTACAGATATTTTCGCAGCGTTGCTCGTGAATGATGGAATCACCATGTGAGGAGTGTTGAGGTCAGGTGAAGGGTACTAGGCAACATAGACAAGTCGATTGATGAAATTGTGAACCTCAGTCGACTGAGATGGTCTGAACAAGTACTGTGGATGCCCATCCATCACCTCCCATGATGTGCAATAGTAGGGGGAGGTGGATTAGGTTGGGAGGGAGTTCAGGTTGGCGAGACTAAGATGTGGCACCAGTTAATAAAGCCCCTAACTGTTGGTCTGAGCTATGTTTGGAGATGTAGACTGCCTAGTTGGGGTTTCAGAGACGAAACGAATCAGTGATTGAGGAGTGACTCTTGATGACATGGCTGGAAATCTTTGACAATGGCTTAGATGTATTCACTCCTTGATGCTTTCTAAAGTCTGAATATTCGAACTATCTGTTATCTTCGGATTGTTTATTCTCTCACACAACTTTGTCTACTTTGATATCATTGTTTTTCTATCTATATGTCCTTAGTGTACTTCTATGAAGTGTGGCAACCTAAAACAATGCATTTGTATGTGAGGTTCTCCGTTTATATTGTGTATCTGTAAACACATCAAGCAAGAAAGCAACAGAATGAAGGAGAACGAAATGAAGAAGAAACCAGTCAGTGACAGAAAGTTGTGACAGCGTAACAAGGAGGAATAAGAAAATACTGAATTCATTACGACGATTGAGATGAGGATAGTGTTTAGATGAATCTGCACAAATGACACTAATTTTGAGTCAAGTCACTAACAGTGTCCAACAAGTGGTTTATTTGTTACGTGAACTCCAACCGAGAAGTTTACATCTTCCCATTCGGCTCACACCAACAGTCGATGACTTCACAAGCATTGGCACCATATTTTAGTTTGCCCAACCTTAACCTTTTTTCAGCCTGGACCTATTCGGGCTAGCATTATACAACAGGACAGATGGTAACTAAGTATGCGAAACATATTTCTCAGCCACCACTGAAGTCAATGAGGGTTCACAACCGCACCAGCTAGCTTTCCTCTTCTCCCTAAAACTCTGCGCCCGACTTGTATACTAATGATGCGGCAACACAACTATAAGCGATTAATGTTACGAAATCAAGGGTGGTCAGATACCTGGAGCCTTCTCACATACTCTACCTTTAATGGCTACACGGTAGAACAGAACGAACGGCAGCTCAGTACACTCGGTCCTCAAAAGAAAACCGGATATCAAAATGGCACCATAGATGGCGTAGGTTGGTGAAAGCTAGTCGAGACCTTTGTTTCAGTGCCAAGATTTCATCGGTTATTGACACAAGACGACTGATCCAACTTCCTCAGAAAGTGAAGTGGTCAACGTACTCAACCAATTCACTCCCTATTGTTAGACAAGGCACCAACTCAGATCAGCCTTGTAGAAGCAATTCATCACTGCGTGGAGAGGAATGCATTCCGAAATTGTCACTCAAGGCGTCCAGGAAACTATGCATCTTATCAGTGTCTCCACATAATAGGAACATGTCAAGTGCGTACTCTAGACCGACCAAGGATTCTCTTGAGATAAGAACAATCACAGCGGAGTCACACGATGAGAGGCAGACCTCCATAAGTACATCTGTGATAAAGTTGAATAAGAATGGAGAGTGTGCGTCCTTAACAGACACTACCCGACGAACATAACTCACCATAAGCCCTGACACACCCACGTGTCTTCGAGTGCAGGGCCTTCAAGTTAGAGATTTACATAATCAGTACCCCCTTTCAGTGAAAGACACTACCATAAGACCTCTCAACAGACGGAGCTGAATTCCATCTTCAGGTCAAGAAATCCTGGCGGATTGCGAATATCTAGTTGATACAACACGATTAGGTCTGAAACCTATTAGTTGCCCAATTCCATTTAGATATATCGTTATAAAACCGAGAATCTTAGACACTATATTCGTCAACCTGATTCCTTTTGTTTATCAAAAGACTGTTTCTCCTCATTCTTGATGACTGAAACAACCAGTGATTGAGAGCAGTCAGACGGGATCATATGTGATTCTCATACACTAATTAACATTTCAGTTTGCATGACGAGTAGTCTGCGTCCATTGTCATTGTATACTTCTGCTACTAGTCTATCTAGACCTACTGACTTTTCTTGCTTGAGATTACCTACTGCTTTCTCGACTCCTATACGTGTTGAGGATCCTAACTTGACGTTCCATTTAGGATAGGGGGCAATGGAATAGTAGCTGGAGGCCAGTTGAACTGTTCCTCAAAGTGTTCCAACCATCATTTCAGTCATCTCCCATGAAAGTGAATCACAGACCCATCTTTATCTGCAGTTGTCTGTATAATCATTAACCTTTTCTTCACAGTTTTCCTAATACGTCTGAATAACTGTCTAGTGTTGCCTATCACTACTGCCTTCAACCTTCGCTGTTCACCACTGCTTGCGGTCATTGTGTAGACTTCTTGTCAGTCTATATGTGAGTTGCTTGCGCTCCTCATGGTGTTCTGAGTCTACAGGAATATGTTCGCGTGCATGCAATATATATATATATATATATATATATATATATATATATATATATATATATATATATATATATATATATATATATATATATATATATATATATATATATATATATATATATACAGCTTGCTATCTATTTATACTTGATTTTTGGAATAATTTCTTTAAACAGCCATTATGACTATGATAACTGGATCTTAGTTGTTATAACAGTTCGCCAACAAATTTAAATGGTTAGAAATAAGGTTAGGAACCCATAAATTTAATCACTTCCAATGAATATCTTTACTCTTACTCTTTTTACGACTGGAGGAACGACTTCAGTCAGGGAACTGATTAGATTGTTTGAGAAGGTATGACAGATTGAGTGTTCCATCACTCTGGAATGGCACCATCATTATGCCCATCTTTAAAAAGAGTCTACGTAATGTTTGTGATAATCATCGGGGTATTAGTCTGTTACCAATGGCGTCGAAAATACAAACTACTATCACATTTTGCAGACTGAAAAACTCATGAGAAAATGATGCGCGAGGAGCAGGCCGGGTTCAGTTGGGGTCGTGGATGCATTGATCATATGTTTACTCTCCGTCAGATGCTTGAACATCTCCACACGTATTTCAGGCCAACAATCCTCGTGTTTCAGGATATTAGGACTGCCTTCGATTGGTTGGACAGGGATGTACTCTGGAATTGTCTGTTAGACTGGGGGCGTGCCTGAGAATTAACATCTTGAAAGCCCTATGTAATAACACCTCAGGTAGAGTGAGTGCATACAACCACCTGTCTCCATTGTCCCGAACCAGCTACAGGGTTAGGTAGGATGGCCGGATTTCTGCATTCCTCTTTAACTTTGTCATCCATGCCATTCCTGAGACAGCTTTGAAGGAGGTGGATGATGGTAGTGTAGATCTACTACCCAGAGAACGACTATACAACCTTGAATATGTGGACAATATCGTCTTGCTGTGTGATAACACTCAGGCTACTCAAATCGCATTTAATCAGTTGACGATTAGTGTTTTTAAGTATGGTATGTGCTTTGCACCATTAAAGTGTAAAGTATTCTTGCAAGATCGGCAGGAGCCTGTCCCTGAGCTCTCTCTTGGTGGTGAGCCGTTAGAAGTAGTGGAGGTGTGAGATTTCCAACAGCATATCGAATACCAGAGTGGCACACGTTAATCTGGACCACCTTTAGCGCCGTCTCGACGTTAGTCTGACCGTAAAACGTTGGGTTTACAACACTTCGGTGCAACCACTTCTGCTCTACGCCTGCCTCTGAAACCTGGCCTCTCCGAGCTGAGGATGTGAGACGACTCTGTGTGATCGACCATCGTTGTCTCCGTAGGAGTGCTCGTATCCACTGGCAACACCATGTGAGTAATTCCGAGGTACGACAGCCTGTGTTCGGTCATGATAGAGATAGTGATTCAGTAAGTGAAGTCATCTAGAAATACTGGCTTCCGTGGCTTGGATAGGTGTTATACATGTCACCCAAACGGCTTCCATACTGTCCACTGCTTGCTAGCCTTGAGAGTGGTTGGAAGAAGTTGAGGGGTGGTCAGTGTATGACGTGGTGCTGTGGGTCGAAGGAAAGTAGTCTCAGGTTAGCATCTGTTGATGCATCATGACTCCCTGGGTGGTGTCCAAGAGATCACGCAATCCAGTGGCTTAAGACGTTATCAGATATGGCGCAGAATCGAAACCAGTAGTGATCATGCTGTAGCTTCCTTCTATCTTCTGCTATTGTGAAGTAATGAATATTTTGTTTTGAATATATCTCATTGGACTGCCTCTTCTAATCATTCTATTCTTATTGTGTTTTTTCGCATCCACTCCCCTTCTCTCTGTGTCTTCAAAATAGTATTATTTTTTGTGACAGATTTTTTGGTGTCCTTAGTATACCATGTTTGTGTTCTGTTAATAATAACAAACTGCCCAGTTGGTCATTACATCGTTCATATGAGATAACGCAAAACTATATGGTTACCAATACATGGGTTCTTAAAACCTAATTCATAGTCAATCATCAGTTGGTCTAGCCATTATAGTTTGTAAAAGATTCGTAAGACCCACGACTTGTGTGCTCACCATGACATGTGGTCACTGATTTCTATTCATACACATGATTGGTGTAAGGTATCTACCACTTCTCGAACATACTGATTACAACCATTTGTTTGTAAAAATAACTAAGCATTTCTGCGCATACAGAAATGATTTGTGTGGTAAGGGGACAGCCCCCACCCCCGCCCCCTGAAGATGCCCCACTGCATGTGTACGATAAAACTTAATTATTTCAATGAAAGCAATCATACTGTGAAATGAATAGTCACAAATGTGTTCACTTAGAATAATAGACGGAATCTGAATGGGCTGATGAATATCCAGAAAAAAGTGGTAATGCTGAATTCACCATGCTTAAGTATAGTAGCAAGAATTAAGTTATCAATACATATACTACCATCAGTAATTTCCACAGCTAGGGGAATTTAAAATAATACAAATACCATATCAGCAGTATGACACTCTTCAAACAGCTTTCACAATATGAATTAAAACTGGTTTCATAGTTGACATATTGTTTAACAATATGAGACTGATTCACAGGTGATTCACTAGAAAGTTCGGCTTTTGAATTCTAGAAGTAGAAATTTGGAATATGTTTTGGATAATAGGTTGGTGTAATCAGTTACCTGACAAAAGAAAAGAATTACTTTGCAAACCTGTAACACAATGTACTGACCCACGCCCTTGACTTGACTCTCCAATGAAGTTTATCCGCTTAAAAGTGCTAAGCAGAACTAACTCTACTACTAATCACGAAAAGCAGACATGTTTAGCACAGATGGACATGTGACATAATGTCATCTTAACCCCTTGCATAGTATTTTCAACTAGTGATAACAAACTGAAAAGAATTCATGCAAATCAAGTGGTTATAGCCACAAACAGGGCTGCTGATGCGTTCTCAGTAATGATTTTCAAAAAAACTGCATCGAATATTCCCCACTGGCGAAATTCCATATTATATTCAGATTTCTCCGCTTAATGTATATATTTTCTCACGGAAACTAGCTTACTACTGCCAAAAAACGTGTTCCAAATTACTCTGCTGTTCTTCAGCTGTGCCATACCGATATCTTTTGATAATTCAATTTGGTAATGGAGCGAAATATGCTGAAATACTCAGTTTTTAATGAGGAAATAATCCATTTACAAAACATTACTGAATTTTGGAGGGAATGGTGAAATAGATAGACATAGTAGTAAGGAATTCATGAGCCTCAAAAATTCTGTCAAATCTTTTGTAGAAAAATGATAACAATTTTGCAGACATTTTAATTCAGTGAAAATATTTTTAAAAATGCCCTTTATGAATGAAACAGGACCAGTAAACTGCTTCTTGAAGTTTCTCAGTTCTAATGCACCTTTCACAAGCAAACATCAAAACCCTGGTTAGCTAATTGGTTTCAGTTTGGAAGTTTCCATTATTAACTACTCATGAGTAATGTATTTGCAAGATAACAGAACATGAAAAATCTATTTGTTCCATCGTGGAAGGTCCTGATATATATCAAGGAATTCAATAGTAGGATTTGATAGCTGACAAAAGTGCTCGAATATTTCAAGCAGTTTTTTCAATTGATATTGATTTTAAAAATCTAATTTTAAAGATGGTGGTTCTCATAGAGACATTACACTGAATTGGACGATAATCAACATTTATGACTAACTATAAATTTTTCGCATTTATTGGTTATGCGAATTAATGGAATTTTCAGTAGACTTATTTATGCTAATAATTACCAGCTAGGAATGTAAGGAAATGAAGATTCTCTTAATAAATAAATAAAAATCTAGAACTTACCACAATAGGCTTTTCTTTCACTAGAATATGTCCTTTTTCTATTGCTTCACTAATAGGATATATCTGATTGCGTACAGGATCTCGAAAAATGCCAGTCTCCATATCTAATAGATCACGCCGAACTGCTTCTGTTTGTGTAACCTTGCGTTTACTAATCGGATCAATAACAGCTAAGATATCATCAGACCGATAAATATGCGTAAACCATGAGTCATTTGATGCCTTGTTTAATGAACTGTCACTATGTAAACCCGGTCCAAGCCAACTTAAATGTGTGATGAAACGTTGATCGATCAAGTAGCCCAAGGGAGGACGATTTATGGACAAGGCTAACATCAGATGGGCACCAGATGGTGTGATATCAACATTCTTCATTGTTTTCACTTTAGATGATAGCAGCATAGAGGTCCCAGTAACAGGATCCATTATTTGTCCATATATATTTGGATCATAATGAGAATTTTCAGGTAGTTTAAACCAACCTGAACTGAGTGCATCCAAACCACTTAACTCACGACCATCTATATTGAATAATCCACATCCTTGAGTTAACAACTGGATCGAATGTAAGTCACACAGTGCCGAATGCTTAGCTGACTTTTTCAGAGCAACACGGCGTTGTAAAGAGTTCTGACCATGTTGCCGTGCTTCTGTATTGGGCGATACAATTTCTTCTTTTGAAGAATCAATTAAACCTGTGCGAATAGCGTGCAATATAGGATGTTGCTGGTATGTTTGATTCGACTTTTGATTTGACTCCCAGCCAATGAGCACACCTACTGGAGGTGGGTATGATTTCGTATAGATAAGCCTAACATAATTATTATTAACGGCATCCCACAAGTTCATAGGGGGTTTGTCTTCTAAAACAATAAATCCGGATGATGTCATTATATTCATATTTAACGCTTCAATTAAGGTCAATGGTTGATTCGAATGGGATTGCACAAGCACCATTGCCGGTTGATTTCCAATAACCATTCCACGTTTCACTGCCTCAGTAAACAATATATACTGACCGTTGTGGGCATCAAGGATCCCTATACTATTGTTAGGATGCTTTTCACTCATATTTGGAGTACTGACGGAAATCAAACCAGATAAGACAAGTTCTGCCAGACTGGGAGCTTTAGTTAACAGGCCTGCAGCCTGAGCCACTTCTATGCCAATCTTGAATTGACCAGAAGAAGAACCTGATCCGAGCCAACAACCAGATACATCGTCAATTAAACCCATTTGAACAGCTTCAGTGAGGTTAACACGTCTGTAAGAATCAGTATAGTAGCCACCTTGCTGAGTTCCATCAGGAACAACAACTTCTGGAACATTAGGATCCAAAAGACCCATTTTAATGGCATCTCTAATTGTTAATTCATTTTCAGTAAACGAAAGTGAATTACTCGATAGTTTGTTATGCTTACTAATACTGCTAACTCTTTCAGACCTCAGTAAACTAACACGTAAACGTCGTGTCCATGGATTGTAAGCACCAGAAGCTAACCAATCAGACAAACATGGTTTCCAGTAGGCATCACTTTCATTTGTGCCAAGTGCTTCACTCCATGTTAAGTAGCAATCTCGAAATTCCACACATATGCCACTACAAAGAATTGCAGCTAAATGATGAAAATCTGCATCATTTATGAACCCGTCTGTAAATAAATCAACAACCTTTTTACTATACGGCATCACCAGACCAGTTTTAGGATCAATATGATGACTGTTAAAGTTACGTGAAGAAGAAGTCAGAAAATCAGCTACAGATGCAGAGTGGTCACCGATCTTTATGCATTTGTTCAAAGCTTGAACAGAATAGGCAGTTAGCCAACCACGTTCTACAGCATCAGACAACGTATAGCAAGTGACGATCGATTTTGGCGACAAGTTTTTGCAGCTAGGTCGAATAATCCACAACGCAGTGCATCTCCTACACAGAGTGTTTCACCAAACCCATGTGTTTCATTCTCTCCGGTCAACTGAGTTACAAACCATGAACCAGAAGTTTGAAAAATTTTTGGTCCGTATAACTGATGCGCCTTAGATATTGTAGCCAATGTTGCCGCTTCCCAACCTGTTGGCAGCAAACAGATGGGTTGATTATGCACGCCACTAAGATGTACACCTGATTTCAACTCCTTCGTTCCAATTAACTTTTCCTTATGGGTGGATGAATATGAATTTGAGCATTTTTTATCCAGTGAATTTTCTGTTACGTTCAGTCCATTGTGTTCTCCATTCTCTTGATACTTTGACTTGAAAGGAGAAGACTGAGCTTCTTTCAATCGATTATTTAATTCTTTAGGCCATACTCCTGTATATAATTCACGATAAGGTTTTACAAAATTTGGACCGGATATATTATTCACAGTTGAAGATTCTTTCGATCTTAGAAGCTAATAATTAAATATATATACATAATTAGAAGAAAGCCAAAAAACAACACTAGATAACGATAAGTCAGCAGGAAAACACAATGATTATTTACAACTCATAGGTTAGAGAATTTGGACCAGCCAAATGTCGTCACTAAGCTAATCTCTGAGTGAAAAACATGACTTCTATTCATTCCAGTATTACTTTCTGTACAAACATATCTAAATAAAGGTATTCTCCGTGAGACAAAGTATAAACATACATATTGTGCTGCATTCGACAAGCTTGACTTCTGTGATAGATATTTTTTCAATTATAGGTTTGAGTCGTGTGGGTAGATGCAGACTGTTTGGCTGGGGTTCCTGAGACGGAAGGAATCAGTGGCTGTGGACTGACTCTTGGTGACATGGCTCGAAATCAGTCACAATGGAGCAAACGCATTCATTCTTTGACAACTAAAGCTTAAATATTTACACTAATCGTTATCTTCAGATTGTCTATTCTCACATACAACTTTGTCTACTTTGATATATCTTTTATCATCCACTTCTTGTTTGTAGTGTGACAACTTGAACCGATGCATCTGTATGCGAGGTTCCACGTAGCTTCTCAGTCAGTCAGAGGCTCTTAGAAGCACCAACACTAACACGATATCCATTCGGTTCATATAGTTGGAATGGAATTTGAATAAACTGAATTCACCACACTGTTATTTGGCAGCAAGTATAGTAATTAGACAGGCAAAAAAAACAGTTTTTGAAACATGATATTCGCGAATGACCTTAAAAGCCAGCCTCACAACTGCTGATATACCCAATTAAATTTCGGTATTTTGGTTGCGAAGGTGGTTCTTCATAAAACGGAGAAACGTAATTGGTTCTCTCAGAGGTTTTTAGGGTGGCGTTTAAAGCAAATCGATATTCAATAAGTCAGATATGATGGAACCGTGACTCACCGGTTTAGACCCTCGAATGTCAACTAACATGTTGAGACTTTTAACGAATGACTTTATGGGTCACCCTAACAACTACTGAAATGATCAATTATGTTTCGGTATCTTGTGAGAGAAGTTAGTTTTTAACAAAATAACGCAATCGGTAACACGAATATCAAGAATGAGAATATGTACTCTTTTGATGTAAATTCTTTATTCACCAGCGCGTGCCGTTTGTCATGACTACTTACATTCTCTGTGACTAAATATCTTCTAGATCTTTCCTATTCCTTATTGCTCCAACTTATCTGAGGGGACTTTTATTTCTATGTAGCAACAAAGTTGATTTCACACTTGAAGGAGAACAATTTTGATAAGTTGATGGTATAACTTTGAGGAGTCCCTTAGAATCATTACTAGCTAATATTTGTGTCATATATCGAAAATCTGGCCGAAGGTCTTATCGCTAATGTTGCTCTTACAAGAGATATGTCGAAGACATCATAGTGATTTGTGAGAAGCATGAGGATACAATTTGTCTACTAAGACTTAACACCGTAAAATCTCGTAACAGCCTGACTTGCAAGGAAGAGAATAATAATCATCTGTCATTCTTAGATGTACTTTTGAGTCGACAAGACGGTAAGTCTACAAGGAGCCTGTATGGAGAGGACAGTATCTGAATGTTCATAGTTTTTGTTTGATCCAAAACAAATGAGGCTTAATAAAATGCCTGTTTAATAGGATCTGTCGTATCTGTACACCAGATAGGATGGATGAAGACATTAAATTACTGAACAGAACATTTATGGAAAGCAGTTATCTGCTGACGTTTATAAACCGTTGTAAGTCAGGTAGCACCAAAGACAACTGTATACACGATTTTTAAGAAACATTTCCATATCACTCTACCGTACAGAGGGGAGTTGAATAGTATACTTTTAGGATGTAAACAAACATCAGCGATCAGAAGAACTTAATATGCAACTAAGCTTATTGTGGAAAAAACCAAACACGTGCTTCACTATAAACCTAAATACTGTATAAATTTTTACGACATACAACTGAGTTTACCTGTTTACATGTGTGGTCACACATACAGAGGGACTAATCGAGACATGCAGTTGAGGTTGACGTTTATTACACGGTACACGTCTCCCCCCTAATTTATTTAGAGTGCAAGAAAGAAATTTGAAGTGAAAAATGATTGGCTGGTTCCTCTGTTTAGAAGTCAATATGTTTGGTGCCAAGGTACTTTCCTATTGGACTAGGACACTTAATCGTAGGAATCTGATTAGTTGAGCTTAGATAAGCTATCTGTATTTAGATTGGCTTATAAAACCATTACTTGTCACATAAATTCTGTTTTAAGAGATTAATCGCCTTCAGGTTACGATTAAATCCAAAATGAATTTAAAATTTGTGGAGAATTTAATTCTGTAGTGACAATGTTGTGTAATATTTCAGGGAGCCTGTTTCAAAATGTATTGGGTGTAATTGTTGTTATGATAATTGTAATTTCCTGTTGTTATACAGAGCTGAATTGCTCGACCTCTATTAATATATGGGCTCCTATGTGGATACCTTGTTACTACTGCTGATTCATGATCTAACGTTGATCTCAGTGACTAACAGAGGACTCCAGAACTGGTGTTTTGTTCTATTTGTTACTTGGGTTAGTGAAAAAGGCCCTACCTGTTTAAGCAATGGGTATAGAGTTTGATCCACCGTGGAAACCACACCACTGACTGGGGTCCTGCTACAACCAGCTGACGATTCCCGAGTAGGACGAAATGCGCCTCCTGGTAGTCGCCGAGATCAATATGTATTGAGTGTAATTTAATACTGTAAATGAGATTTGTAGATAAATCTACATCTTAAATGTATTAATCGAAAGTTTGCACATGGTGATAAGTTCTTATTTTGGTATTATTGGAACGGAACTACTGCCTGTGATCACACCAGCAGTCGGAATATTTTCTTAATAATCAACTGAAATGAAAGCTTTCCATTGTTTTTAAACTTTTCATTTGAAATGTACTCATAGTATATTATTCCATTCGGCAATATACAATCTTTTCATAGATATATTTAAATCCTTGTAGGAATACACGGCTATATAGCATAAGGTGCATTTTTACGTGTATAATCCCGGCGTAGTATATTAGTACAAATAACAAAATAAACAAATATTTTGTATTAATCCCCAACATTTAAATCTTGTTAGGAAGATCCTTTTCAAGAGTATGAATATGACATTGGCAGAGATTACACAAGTAAAAATACACCTTATACAATGGATCATACTAACTTGGTGCCCAAGTTTTTCAAACCATTCAGTCCATCGTTGGTCAGGATACCTTCAATACGCTGCTAGCTGTAATTTTTGAGGATAATCTTGGTGAGAAACCGATTACTCTGCCTTCGTAGTTCTGACCAACATTAAGGTGGTCTTCGAAAACAGGTACTAACTGAGTAGTCACGTTCATATAGGCCAACCTCACAAAGTATCTCCGTGTTTGCCTCGAAATTGCTACCATGTACTCTGCACTACGAAACTTTTTATTGAGAGTGGATTTGCTGTTCAAGTTAAAGTATGAGAGAGGGAAACTATTTCATTTCAGTTGTGATTAAAGGACAGCATTTCTTTAATCTCCTATGTTTCTAAGGAGCGGTGCTGTATCGGAATTCTTGTTGTTATCAAATAACTGCAGTAAATTGGCTTATAAAAACTATGTGAGTATTTCATATTTCGTTCAGGATTGAAGAACCAAGGATTTTACTTGAGGTTAGAATAGTCTGCCTCTGGCATAATGCAGACGAAATTGCAGGAGAGTAATCTGTTATGAAAGCACCCACTCTACGGCTTTCAATAATATTATTAAGAAACCTCATAAATTCACCAATAAGTTCTGATGTCTCACTGATTATGAAAGCAAAAGCTATGGGCATAGCCATGAAGTTGATGTCGATGGCTACTAACTCGTAGAGGAAAAGGTTCTCATTATTAGTCTCGCAAGTGTCATCGAGACCCAGTAGATCAAGACAGTTTTCAGCTGATCGGCTGTAGCGAAAAAAAATGATTTCAGATCTCCACCCTCTGTGACAGAGAAGGATGCTGATCCACGTTGACTGATTATATGCGCCTGCAACTTTTCAAAACTGCTTAAAACAACATCGTTACAAGGGGAATTTCAATCACCGGTCAAATTACACTTAGCGAAGAGGCGACAGCATATATTGAACACATCTTGACTATTTATTCGTTTACAATAGTGTGCATAGACGAAATCAACAACATTAAATGCAGCCGTTCCGGATATCAGCAATGGCCTTATGCTCTTTAATTCAGCTCCTGTCAACTTCCGCGCCCAAGAACTATTGTCATAAAGCAGTGAATTGCAGGGATGATTGTGAGTTAAAAGCCACCGAGTAACTGTTCAGAAACCTTCTAAAAACTTCGCGAGCACGAACGCCCAACAAGAACATTTCAGAGATATTCTGTGAAGTAAATAATGAAAACAAACAGAACTGACCTTCTTGTCACTACACCACCTATTGACTGGCGTTCACTAGCCTTATAACAGACAAACTTAACGTAAGCTCTTCGGTCACCTTGCAAATGTGAATCTCGCACAACGTAGTAAGCGTACGTCTGTTTCTCATACTCCTTCAGAGCGACCTTCAAAGACTCTAAGGACGAAAACGCCGCGTCATAAAAACTCTCCATAAAAATCGATTCGTTTCCGGTCACAATACTTTGAACGGTATCGTCGCTCATCATGAAAACGAAGCAACCCGTCCTTAGTTTGCTCCATTTTATAGTACCTTTGGACTTCGTGCAACCAATAACATGGGACATTTCACCGTCTAATTTAAGTGGACAACAGGTGATACAGGGAGTGAGGGGAAAGGGGTAGAAAATAACAGTTCAAAAAAATTATTACAGTAGATAAAATGTATTTCTGCAGTTGAGGGTCGGAGACCATGAAATATATTTAGTCCAGGGTAATAATTTTTTTAACTGTTATTTTCTACCCCTTCCCCCCTCACCCCCTGTGTCACTTGTTGTCCAATCAAAATGGACGAGGAAACATCCTATGTGACTGGTGGCACGAAACGGAGCAAACCGAGTAAGGGTTATTTTATTTTCATGGTGAGCGAAGATACCCTCTGAAGTGTTGTGACTGAAAACGAATCACTTTTCATGAGGCGTTTTCGTCTCGTTGCGTTTCCGTCCTTGGATGGAGTGCGAAGCTTTGATAAACACAGGTGGGGAGCGACTCTCTTGAACATGAGATTAGTTATCTCAGCAGCTTTTATGGTGGTCTTTAAAGCCACTGAATATTTTGGTTTGAAAAGTAGTTTTTCATAAAATACAGAAAATTAATCGGTTATTTCAGCAATTGTTAGAGTAGCCTTCATAGTTAATCAATTTCAACTCTTTCTGCCTCCTAAGATCCGAGCAGTCAGTTGTCCTCACTAGTTATTCACACATATTATGTGTGGCTCGTGGCCTAGTGCACGTACTTAAATGTATTCATCAAGTTTCATTTTTGATATGGTGTCTTGGTTACCTTTGAAACTTTAAAAATATGATAGTTTATAGAAGTAACTTGATTTACTTCGAATCTATAGGGCAGTGATGACTGTAACTGTGTTCACTAGCACATCCTAAATAGAATAAGTCACTTGAAAAGATCAGATATCATTTTAATTGTATGTCAGCATATAGTTTATGCATGAGTATTTTAAAAATAATAAACTTACAAAAAACTGTTCTGGTGTTAGAGTTTAAATCCTAAATAGCCGAAAGCACCAATAAGTGGTCTAGTATAGAAAGTGATGAGTGTAGTCTGCTGTTTTTCCTTAAATGCTATAATGAGAACATATTATTACGATATCTAACTCAGCCATTATGGTAATACGTTTACTGTTTAAACTTTTCGTCTTGGACATCCACATAGCAATGCAGATTAGACAAGTAGGTTCATCCACAATTCTGGAATGTTATTATATCGATTCATACTGCATCTCAGAGATTTCCGCACAAGATCCTAACGAAGCACTTCAGAGAAGTTCTTCATGCATCAGCAAAAACATTAAGTTTCCCGTGCACTTATCAAGGCGCACTTTATCATTGCCTGAAAAGTTAACATGAAGTTACTGAGTAAGTAAAGTTCGAAGGAACTTGAGTGGAAATTTAATTATCAGGATTATCATGATATGCCTAGTGAAGTTTCGTCTGAAAGACTTACGTTAGCGTAAAAAAAGTCATCACTGTGACTAAAACTTGGAAAGTCAGAACCATCAGAAAAGGAATGCAAAATTCTAGAGGTAATTGCGATGACGTATTTAATGTGATAGAAAATGGATCACTTTTATTAACCGAATAACCACAAAATGACCAACCGTTGTGCTAAGAATACTGTGCCTGTTACGTGTCATCTCCAGCAATTAACAATTTTTTCTCTAGGATAACTAGAAAAGATCCTAACCTAGTCTAACCGCTGGTGAGTAAAACGCAAATTTGAATAGCATATGTAATGACAAATTAATAAAGAGGTAGTATTCATCACCAACTGACATTAGTTGGGTAGCCATTGAAAACCTGGGAGCACTGAGCAGCTGTTTCGTCCTGCTATGGGGCCCCTCGACAGTACGCATTCATACTGATTATATGTTGTATATCAATATTATCGTGTCGCCAATGCCAATTAAAGTGGAAGATCATAAAATTATTGCCCATTTAACAACATATCTTGAGACCATAAAATAACTACTTTGAAACTGCCCGCTACGGTAATGAAATGTATTTTGTCATCTTTTTATTCATATTCAATTTGTAATTTAAGCTTTTTTCCTTCAAAAAAACTGAACAAAAGGTTGAACATACCTTATTTAAACAATTCACTATATCATATATGTGACGAGAGTGAATATTAAACTGACTATTCAACTCATCTGTTGTTTGCAGTATTCTACCCATATCAAATAAACCATATCCTGGTGACCATTTGTAATCTCGAGATCCACCGGATTTTGGAACGTATTCTCAACTAATTCGCGATAATTTTGGGTTCGTTCTGCATAATTCTATAGCACAAAATTAGAAGAAATAAATAAATAAGAGAAATGTATGAAGAAGTACAACAATAACGTAACAGCACTTCAAGGTAGAGACTAGGAATAGGGATAGACAAGGCGCTTTTCAATCTGTTTAAGGTTTGTCAGCCTTACATGCATCGGAAACAAAACACTATTCACCAGGCACACATTAGTGGGTAGTGATGGTTACCAGAAAAAAAGTTAGGAAAGCAGTCAGTAAGCAGAACCCACTGGTTCTAGTGTTCTGTTAGATCCAGTCCTATAAAACAATACCTTTGTAGATGCAAGATCCATTTTCATTTCAAGTTGAAATGAAACTGCTACCTAGACTGGTGTCAAAACATCCTTCATGTAAGACAAATTCAACGTATAAGGCATTAGAAATATCATATCATCATCACGTAATCTTAGCATATTCTTGTCTCAGATTTTAGGCAGTTTATAACTCCAAACCAGGAAAGCAAAAACAAACCGATGTCACGGCTTCTTATGAACCTTTAGTTCAATATGACCAAACACAACTATTATGAGATTACAAAACAAACAAAATATATTCACAAATTTAGTCCTCGCGAACTTTGCCTTAACACACCAAAATCACATTAGAAAAGACCTTATTGTACTCTGAACCACGTATCAAAGTAACATTGACATGTGAATTGTAGTACAATTCCTAAATGCTGATAATATTACCATTATAAAGAGGCAGATAGATAGGTAAAGATAAAAAGACACCAGACAGACAAAATCAATGTATAACCTCACACGCATAACTGCATCAGTTCAAGTTGACACACTTCACAGTAGTACACAAAGAACAGGTGGATAGAAAAGGAGTGAAATTCAAGTACACAAACTAGTGTGAGAGAATAAACAATCTGAAGATATTTGGAACAATTAGTCCCTTTAATAAATTTCGATAACACGATTAGAAGACGAAGATTATCTGAAAAATGTGATGCATTTGCGCAATCTGATCACACATTTACTTGTCAAGTCAATTTATGTATGAAAATTAAAGGTCAAATATAATGAAAATGAAAAGGTTAGTGCGAATATTCAGCTTTAGAAGATGTCAAGGAATGAATACATCTGCGCCATTGTCACCGATTTTCATCCATGTCACCGAGAGTCACTTCTCAATCACTGGTTCTTTTCGTCTCGGAAACTCCAACCAAGTAATATACATCTCACCACACGACCCAGACCAACATTAGGAGACTTCATAAAATGATGTCACATCTTGGTCTCGCCACCCTAAATCCCTTTCAATCTAATCCAACTCCCAACCAGTATAGAAAATCAAGGTAGGTAGTGGCTTGGCATGCGCAACACATGCCAAGCCTCCTCAGCCAATGAAGGTTCACAACCATACCAACTAACTTGCCTATGTTTCCTAGTTCCTTTCACCTGACCTTAGTATTGCTCACTTGGTGATTCCACCAAACGCGAGCAATGCATTGAAGACAACTACGACCGAAAACATGTAACCACTTTATGTGTTCCACTGTTAACAGCCATGTCTCATAGCCGCATAACAGGGCAGAACGGACTGAAGTGCGGCATACTTATCCTTCAATAGATAGTCGGATATCTCGCCAGTCGGCACCAGAGATGACGCAAGTTGGCAAATGCCAAACGAGGCTTTCTGTATCCGAGCTGAAATTTTGTCAGCAACCCGCTTAAAGCCAGTCAATCCACGTTGCACATCAACGTTAATCAATTGCAATAGGTGGCTGAGAAAGAACACAACGAATTGTAAGTTTTGATTGATCGAGAACCAACCATCAGTGAATGAAAAGTAGTTCTGAGTAATTCTAGAAATAAGCGTTCCAGGTATAATTCATGTAATTTGCGCTGTGCTTCAGTGCATTCCGCTAGATGCTATCTTCAACAAATGTCTCTTTTAATAAACACTAATGGTTCGATAACGAAGTGAAACATGAGTATTACAGTCATGTATACTTATCAGTGAGCAGTACTCTTAATAAGTTATACGAAAACATGATTACACCTTCGTCCATTTTTCATAAGCTTACAGAACAACGATTTTTGTTCCAATTTTTATAGATGATGGGCACAGATCTATCAGGATACCTTAAGCCATTCACAGAAGCGGCATTCTCCTATATTATGCAGGCAAACTATCATGAGCACCAAGATGGTATTCACCATGGACTGACACCAGTTGGAGAAACACTGGGAACCTGTTTCGTCCTAGTATGGGACTCCTCAGCAATGCGCACCCCTGACCGCGCCCTCCAGGAATCGAACGCTTCGGATTCTGCGGCCAGCACGTTACTATTGAGCCACTGAGTAGCGATCGGATGGCCCATATTTTCAACCTACGTCAGTTTACAACACAGCGCTATCACCACCCAATGTCGTCGTGGAATATTTGTCCTCACGTCCACCAGGTTTGCCCAATGGGTCACAACTTCTCATTGGAACTTCAGGAATCATATATCGAAAACTAGTCACCAATTAGCACACGTATTCTGAAGGAGAATTAACTGACCTAAGCTTTTTAGTGTTATAAAGACGTCGAGTTTATCGGGTTACGAAAATCCTGTTTAACTAATTATGCACAGACTACTATAAATTTTCAGTAAAAAGCTTTCGAAAAGAGTATTTTTGTTCACTTATCTATATGCTTCAATGATAAAATGTTCATTAATTAAGTTAGCATTTGTTGGGTGTAAATTAGAGGAAAATATAAATAAATAAAGACATAAACCTGCCGACTTTTAAGAAAAGAACTGTTTATGCATGATGCCTAGCATGATATATGTTCGGAAATAGATAAAACATGGTTGTGAATGAATCATGTTACATAAATTATAGGCTGTGATGTTGCGTAACACTGTGCACAGCATTAAAGTGGAGAACAGAGATATCGAAAAACGTTAGTCCGTTTTTGAATTCAACACCTTAAACATTTGCTGATTTTTTTTCGTTGGATATTCATCGTTTATGAATAGATTGTAAATTAAAGATGCATAGTGTCATTGCTAACTGAACACATTCTACTGGACACAAATGGTAACAAGTAATTTAAACGCAAAAACATTTAGAAAGCTATAACACTGTTATATGGCTGAGACATGGGTGTTAAAAGAAGAAGTCTCATTTGCCTAAAGCCTTTTTCAACCAATATGATATATATATATATATATATATATATATATATATATATATATATATATATATATATATATACGAATGTACAGCTTGAGAATAAATTCGTTGAAAAGAGTCCTCTTCGCTGAATACTATATGTATAGCTTCAGTAGCCATTTTTTATACATCTACCAGTGACTTGATAGAGCCTTCAGATTCCACCCTTAGTGGTCACTCAGTTTCTCCGTAAATAGAAAAAGCGATAATATATCAGGCGGTGTATTTACAACGTCAACAATATATACAAGTTACAAGGGTTAGTATTTATTACAATCACCCAGGCTATTTCCAGGGCTACTAAATTTAAATTCCATTGATTTTTCGTCTCTTCTACCAGCCTGATACTTACACGTTGGTTCACGTGTTATTTTCCGAAATTTCGAAGCATATATATATATATATATATATATATATATAACCTCGCCTGGTTAACTAGTTTACTAGTTACTAGCCGGTCCTAAGCCCGGGTAAACAGGGAAGGTTGGGCATAGGGCTAGCAACCCTACCCCGTAAAACAAATCTAACCGCTAAAGAAACTTCAAAGCACAAACAAAATATAAAAAATGAAAACAAACTTATTCCCCGCTGGAATCGGAGAGGCGAAATGACGCCAGTTGGTGAAAGCCTTCGGGAAGCCAATTGGCCGATGTGTCTTCTCTCGATGAAAGCGAAAGTAAACGTGGGGACATGGAATGTCCGCACGATGTTTGAACCCAGTAAGGCAGCCCAGATTGCAAAGGAGATGAGAAGGTATCACATCGAAGTGCTTGGGATTTGCGAAAGCAGATGGAATGGGAGTGGACTCTCCAAACTGTCAACTGGAGAATCAATAATCTACTCCGGTCACCCAGACGACAACCACGAGCACAATGAGGGAGTGGCTATCATGATGTCCCCAACAGCATCGAAGGCTCTCATGCAGTGGGAACCAATCTCCTCTCAGGATCATGACAGCAAGATTCAACTCAAAAGGAAGAAAGGTCACAATCATACAATGTTATGCACCTACAAATAATGCAGAGCAAGAGAAAAAGGAGGAATTCTACAGACAACTTCAATCAACACTGGACAAGACGTCAGTTGGCGATATCAAAATTCTAATGGGCGACATGAATGCCAAACTGGGAGGGGACAACACAGGAAGAGAACTAACCATGGGTCGAGAGGCGCTAGGTGAAATGAATGAGAATGGAGAATTGTTTGCAGAATTCTGTGCATTCAACGATTTGGTGATTGGAGGCAGTGTGTTCAGGCACAAGGATATCCACAAAGCGACATGGATTTCACCAGATGGACACACTAAAAATCAAATCGACTTTATCTCAATCTCAAGAAAATGGAGACGCAGTCTACTTAACACAAGGTCAAGAAGAGGAGCAGATGTAGGTTCAGACCACTATCTAGTGCAAGGAACCTTCCAAATCAAGTTAAAAGCCTTCAAGGAAGCTGGTGATAGACCTCAATTCAAGTACAACACTCGGAAACTGAAGGATGAAACTACAAAGGAGATCTTCAAGGCAGCCATCAAGACAAAATGGGAGACATCGAGCACATCCCTGAAGAAACCTGTGTGGAAGAACACTGGAAGTCTTTGAAAGCTATGTGGAAAGAAACCTGCACAGCCGTATTAGGAAGGAAGAAGAAAGAAGACAAGGAATGGATCTCGACGGATACCTGGAAGCTGATAGAGAGGAGAGGAGTATGGTGAAGCAGAAGATAAACCAGTGCAAGGATGCTCAACGACAAGAGGAACTGAGCACAATGTATAAAACACTGGACAAAGAAGTGAAGAAGAGTGCACGCAAAGA